GCCTGGGCTGGCGCTCTCTGCCCGTGGACACCATCACGTTCTTGGGCTGCAGGAGCCTCCTCATCACGTCCAGCACGGTGGTCTTCCTCACGCTGGCCACCTGTGCAGCGCTTGCCCATTGTTAACACCCGTCCCACCGAAACAATCCTATGCCCGTCGTCCCTTGAGGATCCACTCACCGACTGGTCGGTGGTGAGCGGCGTGTAGCCCGTCATCAAAAAGTGGAGGCGCGGCGTGGGGATGAGCGAGGCGATGAGGCCGATGAGGTCGTTGTTCATGTAGCCCGGGTAGCGCAGGGTTGTGGTGCTCGCCGACATGATGGTAGACACCTGTCACGGCCGACATATTACAAAAAGCTTCAATGAAACGTCAATTGCAGGTTATTCAAAGGCAGGGCCCGACGGATACGGATTTCCCTTTTTTACAGACTCTCAATTGAGCATTACCTTGATATAAAGGCAACATTTTTTGCTGCAGCTTGTCTCCCGGACTGCGTTGAGCCTAATGAGTGAACAGCCTAGTTTTCAGTCTTGAGTCTTCCGCAAGCCGAGATAGAGCGCAAACCACATGACTAAATTAAGCCAATAAGCTCATCTAATTTTTTTTCCAAAGGTTTTCATTTCCATTCAAAGTCTGCTGAGTAACTGACCCTCCAAAACAATTCGCCAATTGTCGGACGTAAAGTGAATTCGAGCGGAGTGGGCGCTGCGTGCGCTCTCACGCGCACTCACCAGCTGGTTGATTTGCGAGAAGGACGGGTTCTGGATGTGCAGCCGGTCTAATTAAGCCAATAAGCTCATCTAATTTTTTTTCCAAGGTTTTCATTTCCATTCAAAGTCTGCTGAGCAACTGACCCTCCAAAACAGTTCGCCAATTGTCGGACGTGAAGTTAATTCGAGCGGAGTAGGCGCTGCGTGTGCTCTCACGCGCACTCACCAGCTGGTTGATTTGCGAGAAGGACGGGTTCTGGATGTGCAGCCGGTCTGTGGCGATGCGATTCAGCGCCGTGTTGTCCAGCACCACCTGGTGAATGACACAACAGCATACGAGACATGAGGACAAAGGGCCTCTCTAAACGAAGATGGATGAGGTGGACAGAAAAGATCATGCGGGAGGAAACCGGAGTACCCGGAGAAAACCCATGCAGCAACATTCAAATTAAAAGAAAAAAAAAAATGGAAGAATCAAAGCTCTGAATACAGTCTGACAGAATTCCGTCCTTTGTCCAGGCATTTACTGTACAGTTGGTTGTAACTCGAAAGAAAAAATGTGAAGGAATTCTTCCAGAAGTGATCGCGTGCGTTCCAACTTTGTACACTGCACACACACAAGTGCCAGCGTGCAGACTCTGACCCCTCCGATCCCATGAGACCCAAAACGTTATTTAGCCTAATTACATTCACTGTCCTTTATTATCCTGGGGGGAAAAAAAAAACATTCTCAGTATTGAGGCAACATTAATCTCACCACGCAATCGGCATTCTGCGTGAGCCTCTTGAGGGTCAGCAGCGAGTTGTACGGCTGCACCACCACGTCGCTCATTTCATCCTGGTTGGGGAAGACCGAGTAGGTCTGCACCAGCTTCTTCGGGTACCTGATGAGAAAAAAAATGGCATGCTTGTAAAGCCAAACACGTTTTATTTATGCTCTGAAGAGATTATTTGTGCGTTTAGACCTGTCGTTTAGCCTCTCCAGCAGGTACGACCCCAGACCGGAGCCTGTCCCCCCAGCGATGGAATGACACAGGACAAATCCCTGTTGGGGGGAGTTTCAAAGTTACTCATACGAAGTAGCAGCAAGCTTACAATCACACGTGGCGGGCTGGCAAAAAATGTGGACAACCCCCCTCCCTGTAAGACCTGCCTTCTACTCGGCCCTTAGCTATTAGTGCCGCACTTATTACACACCGCGCCCCGCCAACATACACACGCTCGGCCACACCTTCCAGACTCACACACACTAAATGACGGTGGTGATATGGGGTCAGGAATACTCCCAAATAAACACCCGTAGCCACTATTGGAGTTACTAGGGTATTTAGGAACTCGCCTCCAGACTGTCGCTCCCATCTGCCTCGCGGTCAATGATGTCAAAAATGTCCTCTTGGATTTTTTTACCCTGCAGAGAGCAAAAAATACATAAAATACAAACATGTTGAATGTGTAAACTATTTCCTTAGGGCGCTCAAAGATATTTATGTTGTGATAAAAGTGCTCACCTGCGAGTACCCGCTGGCCCAGTTGTTCCCGGCCCCTCCGCCATGCTCGGACAGGTAGATATTCTCGGGGTTGTATAGGTTGGCGTAAGGAGAATTGAGGATGGAGTGGATCACTCGAGGCTCCAGATCCAGGAGGACTGCACGGGGGATGTAGTGCTCGTCATCGGCCTACCGCAAACACAAAGCGGCTTAGTCGGGACATATTATGGAAAATAAAGTAGAAATGGTTTGTGCTGTGTACTCTAATTTCTTAACGTCTGCAACTGAAATGCAATTAAGGCACCTGGGAACTATTTAAAGTGTGAAAAAATGAATCTCGTCTCCTTTACTGTGTTTTAGCAAAATAACCATTCATTTCAGTCTATGAAAGAATCAACTGATACTTGATTCTTCTCTCCTCTGATTCCATCTACTGGAGTGTTGTGTCACTGCACGCAGGCAACATTTAGGTCTGCACGCTTGCACAAATTTGCGACAACCGCATACAACACACTTTCAAATTCAACACCAACATTTTATGTTACATGCACGGCACGTACCTGATAGAAGAAAACATCCTTCCTGTCGGTCCCTTCGGTGGCAAATTCCTCGACGATGCCCTCTGGACTGATGCCATGCTCTGCACACAGTTGCTTCCAAAACTCAAAGCCGACTGCAGACAAACACGGATGAGCAAATGAGACATTTAATGCACACTCAACGGCACGTGCAATTATGAGTACTTTTGACACTGGATTTAAGGTTTGGTACCAATGCAACGACATCCACAAGCCTTATTAGCGTTGACTCCTTAGTGAACCTCCATGGAGGTCGAAGTAAAAACTCACATTACGGCTCAGCGAAGCTATTACATTAAGTCTTAATAAATTTGATGACAATATTTCGGTGACGTCAATAGAGAACTGCCGCTCTGTGCAAGCTAACCCAAATGGACGTAACGGCTATGAAGTAACACGACGTAAATTGACGTACAGTTTTATTATTTTATTTCACACGTACTTTGGTTCCCGCACTGTCCAAGTTGTAGAGTTATGATTTCCCGAGGCATCTTGAAGTCCTGGGCGGCGTTTTATTTAGCCAGCCTGCTAGCCCTTTGCTTATTTACCTAGCCCGCTTGCTGTTGCTAGCCTGCTTCCCGCTTGATGTGACACACGAAGCGGACTTCTTTGTTTATTAGAGGCAGTAAAAGGTAACACTGCCCCCACAGGCGAACGTTGGTATAACGGAATGATAGCTTGCGTTAAAAAAATACAGAGTACTGTATGCACAATTCCCTCTGACAATAAATTAGTATTTCTCGTTCCTACTTAGGATACACATATACAATTTTGACTGAAATTCAAAGCGGCGTCTAAGTAGTTTCACGTTTCATTAAAGTACATGATACAACGCACTTAAATGCTGCAGTGTCGATCAGTTTCGTGCAAATGCTACTATTGATTATAACAACGTAATGATGGGAAGTTTCATCACTTGTCATCTGTTCGTCAGCGTAGTGTTTATTCTGTCAAAAAAATAAATTAAAATAGTATTCACAATTCCTAGATATTTGAACGCAACGTTCCACTTTTGTCCCTGTGCAATCTGATTGGACGATAAAGGGCTCAGAAAAACAGCTTACGCCATATTTGCAGTTCAACAACGAGACCTCCTACGTGCGAAAATGTCCAAATAGTAAGTGTCAGCTCACCGTTCACACTTTCCACAATGGCTCCATTATCATTTAGTCCCCTAATGTCGCCGGACGGTTTCTCTTAGCTCCTCTGCTGGTGATCTCGCTCTTGAAACCCGCTCGATTGTCGCAAACCGACGTTGTGCTGGCGCTTCTGATCGTCTACTACCACGCGTAGTTCTCATTTGCACGTTCAAGTGTTTTTTTTTTTTCCCCTCCCATTCCATCTGAAGATGTCTCAAACGGGGGCTATGGAAGACGTGGCGGCGGCGGACGGTGCCGGAGGCAAGTCGAGTTCCAGTGCTGCCGGCCTCCGAAGTCGACCGGGCTCCAGCGAAAGGGACGCTCTGGTGCGGGCGGTCAAAGCGGCGCTGCAATCCCGGCTGGGGCCCTACGAGCCGCTGCTCACCTACCTGCAGTCGGTGCTGGTGTGGGAGAGACCCTTCCAGTGTCTGCTTCTCTACGTGCTGGTCAACGTTGTGTTCTGGTGAGAATGCAAGTGTTTTAACATTTCATTAAGGAACACGTCATGCACGTTTTAACCCGGAAAGTTGATGTGAGAGTATCGAAATGCCTTGGCAAGGATGTAAATGGCAACTTTTGAGAGGCATGCATCTAACAACGTGATTATTATTGTGGTTGTGGTAAGCGGTGGCGTTAGAAACTACTTAATTTAGCATGTGATGCATTCTTAGATACTTAGTGAAGTACATATTAATGTATTTAACCACTATAGACTGCAGAAATACCAAAAACATTGAAAAAAGGAAGATTTACTTTTGTCTAAATATTGTCCAATGGAAAAATCTGTATCACTTTGAGGTGTCAGATGCAAACTACAAATTCATGTCAGAACTGAGCCTCATACTAATTTTATGGTTGGTGAGAGTAACTGTACATGTGAAAAATGCATAATTGGTATCCATTACACAGTAATTGCATTGGATTTTTTTTTTTTGTCACCCCCACCAAATATTGAATAAACGGGGATTCATCATAAATAAGCACTTTCTGCAACAAACAGATGTTGGATCCGTGAATAGTTGATTATGTGGGTGCTAAACATGCATTTTCCCTGCCAATCAATGTCCAACACAGCTTTTTTTTTTTCTAATTTGGACAAAAAAATGCCATTGGTATTCGATTAAAGTTTGGGCGTTGTGTACTCATGTCACTTGTCAGTTTCATTCTGAATAATTTAACATCCCAGTGCCGGCGGCGCTCCCGAGTTGTGCACCTAAGCTGTGCTTTGGAAGTGAATTAAGCATTTCCCCGGTAACCAATTTCCATATTTTAGACTTACAGTCGGAGCTATTAAATTCAGGTCAAAGGTTATATCCTCAATTTCAAAATATGCCTGCTCAAACTAAAAGTATGACTATGAAAACATTTTGTTTTCGGCTGTTAACACTGCTGCACTTGCGGTGAGTGTTTGTGTGGTTTTGTTGTTTGTCGGATCTTTAGCGTCTAAATCTAATTTTCCAGATCTTTGCACTTTCCAGATCACATGGCTAACCTCAATTACAGGCCTTACGATGCCAACAAATTCTTGGTCAGGTTAATCGCTCGGCTGTAGCTTTTTTTGTGTTACTGTTTTGCGGCAAAAACAACCACCATCATCATCATCATCATCATATTGTTATGTCTCGGCGCAGAATTGATGGCGTGATGTCTAAGATATCAGCATTGGGTGTGCGTGACAAGCCTTACGTAACAGTCTCGTATCATTCCGCATAGTCTTTTCATTGGCTGTTTGAACAAGCGGCATGTGTCGTCGCCCTTGACGAGCTGACGTTGTCCCGCAGGTTCTTTGCGCTGACGACTCTGCGTCTGTTGTTTCTGCTGGCGTGCGGCCTGGCCGCCGTTGTCTGCGTGGACGCGTGGAGGAACAAGATCTGGCCCAAGCTCAGAGGTGCTTACACGTTTGTTCTCTGCGAGCATAATGTGCGGTCCGAACGGAGGCGATGAGCCACCTGCTGCCCCTCCCCCCCAAAGGCTGGACTCAAACAAGGGATGTGTGTGTCACCTCCAGCAGTTAATATCCCATTCTTGCTTCGAAACGTGCCCTCTCGTAGCGTCCTGATCTTGACAAGCGGCGCAGACGATGCCTGCAGACTGGTGCCTGTGAGATTAATCTGGCCTATTTTTGGATGGTAGGAAAAAAAACAAACAAAACGTGAAGTCACCAAGTGGATCAGTAGTCAATCTGTAAGCAACACAACAGAGCAGCCTGTTCGCCCCCCCCCCCCCATGTAAGAATAAAATGTAATTGCACATCCACTACAGTAGGTGGCAGTGGTGCTTTCATTTATTTCAGGCAAATTGATTTTTTTTTCTGTGACAGACAAAAAAAAAACCATGCTAATAAAGTTGTTCTTTGTTGTAAGTTGGTCTCTATTCCTTTTTTTATTTTATTTCATTTTTTTAACGTTCGTAAGACAGGTGCACTGTCGTAAGGTGAGGATGCCCTGTAATCGATATTCTCTCTTCTCCACAGTCAGAAACCAGGATGAATGTGAAAGTGAAAGGTTGGTCACTGGAGTGGACTTTTTGTCTTTCTGACAGTATTACATTTGAAACTTTATAAAAAAAAAAATAATAAATGAATGCAGTGATGTTGTGTTATGCTGCTTTCATGTGTAGTTGGGGCCTGGTGCAGCCCGGCATCCTCAGCGTACCCGAGTTGTGCCACCACGTCGCCGAGGCTTGGGTCAGCGCCGTCGTCGTTGCGTCCAACCTGGCGCACTTCAAACGATTCAACCCCGGCAGGGTGAGGGCAATACGAGATACGTGAAAATGTTTTTACGACGAGTGGTATAAAGCGAAACTGCATAATCAGTTGCGAATGTGTTGACCCTCACAACACCGGTCAACAAATGTTTGCGACATATTTTAATCTGAGATGCAAGTAAACGTAATTTTTTTGCACTGATTCCTAATCTGAAAAAATAATTATATATTAAGTTGCAATGTTGAGGCGGGGGTGCTGGGGGGGATTACTATTAAAATATTTTTCAAAATGGTAACATGTGCGTTTGTGTGTTCCAGTTTTGCATCCTGACCTGCTGCCTCTTCTCCTCGTTGGCCATGATTGGACGATACATTCCGGGGTTGGTGCTCTCCTACTCGGCTGGTGAGTCCCGCCAGGTGCCGGTCCCTTTAAAACAGAGAAAAAAAGATAAAATAGCAAGGTGATAGCCCAAGAGGTCAGATGTCGTTAAATTCCTGACTTGCTTGGGCTGCTGTGGATAATCCGAAATTACTCGTCGGATCCATTTTGGCTAATGAAGAAGAGAAAAAAGATGTTTTGGTAAAAATTCTCCATGTTGTCCAGTGTTGGTGATGCTCCTGGCCCCTCTGGCGGCGTACCACAGGGTTTTCCAGCGCGTGTTTGTGAAGCTGGAGCCAGTCCTGCAGCGGCTGGACTTCAGCGTTTGCGGATACATGATGTCCAAGCCGCTCGACAACCAGTGTGAGAAGCCTCATCGTCACACGGCCCTACACTTGGACTGCGCTTTTTCACTAAACAAAAGTTGCCTCAATGTTTTTTTTTTTTGTATATTCTCTCCAGTCCTGCGCATGCCTCTACATGGCGTTATCTCAGGTGAAGGCAGCGACAGCGAGGAGGAGCTGGCAGCCTTCTGTCCTACGGTCAGTTTGTGTCACAAGCCCGAATGTCAAGGGTTTTATACAAATGAAACTCGTCAACATCACCATCAAAAAACATTTGCGATTAAGAAAAGCAACATAGTGCATTTTTTTTTTCCAAATGTTAACCTCCACTCTGTTACCAATTCCAGTTGAGAGAATTTTTTTTTTTTAACTGATTAAAATGACAACTTAGTTGCAAGTTTGTTTGTTAGGCTTTAGTGTTAAGATTGAGTCAAAACGTTCTCTCTTTCAGTTTGACGACATCGTCGTGGCAAAGGAACTCGCTCTCACTGACTCGGAGCACTCCGATGCTGAGGTTTCCTACACTGACAATGGCACCTTTAATCTATCCCGGGGCCAGACGCCGCTGACCGAGGGCTCCGAGGGTGAGTTATTTTTCCATCTTCCTGTCTGGTCAGCATTGTGACCGGAGGCTGATAGAATATGGATGGATCTTCCTGTCCGTGTTTTTGTCTTCATGTTTGTTCCCTGCACCCTTTCAGAACTGGAGAGACACAGTGACGCCGAGGAATCTTTTGCTCAGGATCTCCCGGATTTCCCTTCCATCAACCCAGATGCCACCCTAATGGACGATGACGACGACACCAGCATTGGACTCCCCAGCCTGGCTCTTTCCGGACTGCAGAGTCACCGCACCTCCGTACTGGACGTGGACGCTCACCTGGACTCGGACCAGGAAGACCTCGACGCCGAAATGTCCCTCAGTGGCCTGCCGCCCGCCTCCGACTTCATGGGCGACCTGGCGGGCGACATCGCTAGCAACATGATCCGGGCGGCGCTGGTCGGCGCCATGCAACCTCGCCGGCCGTCCGCCCAACACAGGCAAGCTCCCCCCAAGGCGGGCGCCCACCGCAGCTCCCGCAAGCAGTCCAGCTCGGAGCTGGATACGGACTTTGACGTGGAGGACTTTGAGATGCTGGATCAGTCAGAACTTAGCCAGATGGACCCCGTTGGAGAAGGGCAACGTAGAGAGAGTCAGGGCTCCAACTTTCTGTCCAGCCTGCTCGGTAAACCACAGTAACAAAAAAACAAACAAAAAAAAGTTACAAAACATTTAATGAGTTGGAGTCTTAGATAATAGAAAAATATATGTTCATGTTCAATCCCAGCCCCATGTGGTCAATATCACTTTTGGCACTGTGAATATGTCATAGAAGACACAGTTGGATTGGTTTGATAAATGAATCATCGGCTTTTTATTTCTTATTTTGGTTGGGGGAACCATGTCATAACTCTTTACAGGGTGTGAGTTGCTGCATTCAAAATGCTGTCATTCAAATGTCGCCCTCTTTCCCACAGAGGGCTGGACAAGAAGAGGGCTATCTAACAAACACGGGACCAAATCCAACATTCCCATTTGAGCCATCCGTGTTGCTTTCCCAGAATCTTGTTTATTCACAAGTTACCAGAGTTGTGCTGCTGTTTTTTTTTTCCCTTAAAGTTCTCCGCGGTTGTCCAAAGTTGCACATCTCAGAAGACAATCTAATTTTGACATTAAAAAGTGCACGAGATATTTTAAATTTTATTTCGATCCTCCAACCAATTGAAAATGGTAAATATTGTACCCCAATGCTTTTGCTACTTTTGTGTGATTTTCTTTTTTGCTGTGTGAACAAATTCAGGATTTGTCTCACGCCCTATAAATGACAATGTTTAAACAGCTCAATGTAAGTGAAAGTCATCTTCAACTTTTCTTTTTTGTCAAGAAATATACGAACAACAGTTTATAGAGTTGCACTTGGTTTACTCTAAGTAAATCATTACAGTATTTTAGTTTGTAAAAGTGGCCCATGAATCTTGCTAGTATGCTGTGACTTTACGATGAAAATATGACTTGGTCATCCATACTGTAAGTGAGCCACAGTTAAGTTTTTATCTGAATTCTAGATTTTTAGCGTGTGATTTTTGAGAAAATCACATAAGCTGCACAACGAAACAGCTGGATTCACTTTACAAACAACAATTGCCAGTCTGCTGACTTGTGCATTTTCTCCTCTGCAATAGTTTTTATGTTTTGATGTGCAAATTATATTGAATAAACTTTTCAACTAAAGCGCTTATCTTTTTGTGTGAGAACCCCAACAAAAACAACTAAACAGGCAAAGAACATTTGACAGTCTGCTCAGATGTTGTAGTCTCGATTTTGCTGTCATTTACAATTTTAACCTATTTTGGAATCGTCGTTCTTTTTTACCAGCCGGACGGTGTTCATCCAAACTTTCTGGGCAGCTCGACATCCACCGTGGCAGTCATCGATTCTACTCCCAGCTGACTCTTGTTTACAAATTACTCAGCGCTGCTTCAACTTCTTCTACCCCTAACCACTGCAATAATAGGCTCACTACACCCACCTACAGGCCATACAAGCTGCTCACAGCATTATCCCCCTCACTAGCGCTCCCTACAGGCCCCCGCTATCAATACCACCGCCGACCAGACAGTTTCCCCATTCAAACCGTCATAGGCAGACGCCCCCCCCCCCCCACCACACACCAAACAAAGCGATTTTAACATATTAACAGTGTTAGCACTTCCCATTCCTGCGAGTATGAGCGCGCACGTCCGGCATAAAAATTAATCTGGCCGTGCTGAACGTGCGCTCTCTTTTAATGATGTAATCGATCGTTAGTCACTGAAAACAATTTGACTAAAATATTCAGATTTATTTATTATATATTATTTTTCAATGCATAGTTATTTTACACTTTACGGTAAAGACGTAGCTGTGTGGGAGCTTCCAATGGGTTCCAAGACATTTTGGTGCGCGTGTTGTTGATGAATGATCTATTTGCGACGAATCATTGCGCGCGAAACTCAGTTTGGAAAGAAGGCGGAAGCGACTGTACACAAGTTGAACATGAGTAAAAAGGACAACAGTAAGTTATCATCTTGACTGTAATAATGTGTCGGTTTAATTTGTAGTCAAGTTAAACTGTTAAAAGCTTTAGTTAGAAATTCATAGTCAAGCATTAGCCTTGCATGCCAGCTAGCAACGAGAGATATACAATATGATATACAGTATGTCTCAAGCCGTCAAACCTAAGTGTGCTAACGGTACAATTCCACAATTAAGGATCAATAAATACGGTATACGTAAGCATATTTTCATCCACACAGGCGCCGCAGTCATTCTCGCCTACCTGAATGAAAAGAACCGTCCTTACACCTCCCAGGATGTCTTCTGTAACCTACAAAAACAGCACGGATTGGGCAAAACGGTTAGATTTAGATTTGAGGAGAAGTTGTGTTTAAAACAAATAAAGCATTGTGATTTTTTTTTTTTTTTTTTTGGTCACCAGGCAGTGGTCAAATCCATGGAGCTGCTGGCCCTGGAGGGCAAGATAAAAGAGAAGATTTACGGCAAACAGAAGATTTATTTTGCTGATCAGGTTAGTTGAATGTTAATAGCCCCCCCCAAACATATCGTTCATTAAGTACTTGCCATAAACAAGCCTGCAAGTCGGAGGCCCCGACATTGCAGTGTCCAAGTGCTGGAGGTGCTTAACTGGGGCTACACAACAATTCTGACGGTGCTGTGCCAACCCTTAGACCGGATGTAATGCCATCCAGTCTCTCGGTCCCCCGAGTATCGAGTATTTACCCGTGTTGCGGCGTCTGCGTTTTTTAATGTTTTTCTTCGCAGTCTCAGTTTAAAGATGTGAATGATGCAGACCTGAAGGTTATGGACAGTCATATTGCTAAACTCAATGAAGAAATGCAGGTCCTCAACCAGAGCTGCAGACATCTGGAAGCAGGTACAGTTGCCCCTTGTTCTTCTCCAATGAGAAAGCATGTTAAGTCCAAATATATTTTTTTCAAAGAAAATCAACCTGCATAAAAGAAAAATATTAAATATGATATAACTAATATTTGTATCAAGTATATACACTTTCAGTTAAAGAAAACATTATTTTGGCCGCGTAGTATTTTTACATTCGAACTCAATTCCTCATTCGTGAATATTTATTTTTCTTTTGAAAATAATTTTTTTTAAAAAGTGACTTTTTTTCAATCTTGCAAAATTAAAATTGTGAAGGAAAGAAAAAACATGGACTTTTTCCTGATCGTGAATTTGTAGCTCAGAACATGTTTTTCTGACCGCAAGCACTCCTCTGTTACAGAGTTGAAGGAGCTCAACAACAGCCTAACTTCACAGGAAATGACATCAGAGATCACTCGACTGAGAGACGAGTGTTCAGGATGTCGTGAGCGTCTGGACAAAATAAAATCGGCCACCAATCATGTTACACCCGAGGAGAAAGACAAGGTTTGCCGGGTTGTTTTTTTTTTTTTTTTTTTTAAAGTGTTGAACACCTAATAATGAAATGTATCACTTCAGTGGTATTAGACTTTGGCTCATATTCTATTTACAGGTTTTGAAAGAGCACAATGTTTATGTAAAAGAGTGGCGAAAGAGGAAGAGACTGGTAATAAGAGTTTAAAGTCTTCTAAAATATTGTCTTCTTCGCCAATCACGTGTGGAAACTAGTTTTGCTCGATTCTACTCAGGCTTCGGACATGATGGACTCAATCCTGGAAGGGTATCCCAAGAGCAAGAAAGAGTTCCTGGTGGGTGAAGTCAAACTTTTGAGAGTTTATCGCAAGACTTTTTTTGGGAAAGCGCAACATATCTGCAGCGTTTTCCTTTCAGGAGGAGGTTGGCGTTGAGACTGATGAAGACTACCAGGTGGTTGTGCCATCTGTTTGAAAATCAGTTTGCTCCATTTAGAAGAATGTATCAAACAACTCTGGACCTTGATTCATGTATATATGTTGTATTTTGTACATTTTACATGTTCACCTTGTACTTAAAAGCTGAGTGTGACTGTTTAGTTTCCCGTTCAAGATCAATAACAAGCTTAATAAATTGGCAGCACGCACTATTTAGCCAAAGGAATAAAAAATGCTTTGCTGGATGTTGTCCATGTGTCTGGACAGTGTTTCATAAAATGTAAGACAGTTCACTACATTATTTCAGACACTTATTTCACCAGGAAAGACGGTCACATAAGGAATTATCTTGGCCTCAACAGAGTAGCAGCACATTCAAAACCAAGCTAACATTAAACGCATAAGCTAACATCAAACGCATATCATCAGTAGAAACATGAAGGGAACAATGTTGCGGTTTGCCTCAAACAAGCAGAGGGGCAGTTGAAACCCAATAAACCAAAATACTGAACTACCGTGGAGGTTGTACAGCTATGTCCGGAAAACAACTACATCTAGAGTTGAATTGTAAGAGATTGAACAGGAATAAGCCAAGGACAGAACCCTGAGGCACACCATCGGTTAAAAAACATTTTAGTATGTACACAATGACATCTACTTGTGCTATCGTTGTCTTAACTGTTCAGTAATTGAGAGCTGAGAAGTCCTTGTTTTGGGACATCGTGAGCCACGATATCGAATGCTTTGGATAAAAGAAGGCTGCAGCGTTTGTCAATACAATCCGTTACTGCTTGGTGTCATTGTGCATTTTCAGATAGAACCGAAGCAAAAAAAAAAAAAGGATTCAAGTCGCTTCTGATGAAAGCATTTGAAGTCATTGATAAAAGTACAGTCAAACCTCGGTTTTCGAATGTCTCGGTTCTCGACCAATTCATTTTTCGACCAAAAATTTCGAGTTTTTTATGCCTTGGATGATGAACAAATTTCAGTTCTCGAACAAACTGAGCACACTTGAATGCACCACTTGACTCCTCTCGCCTTCCTTACACGAGGAAGTGACGCTTCCTCGTGTCGCCTTCCATTGTGAGCAGACGTGTTCAATAAACATTTTTTTTTCTTTTTAAAAAGAGCGTGGCTTCGGTTTTCGAACAGCCTTCTGGAACGGATTATGAACGAAAACCGAGGTTTGACTGGACTAACTGTCATCGGGACAATTAGCTCCCCGCCATTTATTTACAAATCACATCCTAGTTTTCTGTACAAAAGACAGCCTAGCCCCTTACAAACTGGCAACGAACACCCTTTAACTTGCTCGGTTACCTGTTTGCAAGGTACCGATGCGGGATGAAGTCGGCGTGGGAATTAGCCGGCTTGCGAGGTAGTATCAGAGGCGTAACGGAACGGGCTGATCGGCGCTAGATCGAAAGGAGAGTATGTCCAAGCCCCCTTTTGTCGTGCTGACATCACATATCTTGATGCCAGAAGCTGCCCTGGACATACTCCCAACATCTTACTGCTTTGAGCAACAACTGAACGGAACAGGCAAATAAATGCGGGCTTTACGGTCACGCCTCTGACGTGCAAATTTACTGGGACTGCGGTGTGGAAGCAGCTAGTGGAGATTGTAGTGCTTGTCGTTTGATAGTTCACATAATATGGAAAATCTCGCGCCCTGGAAAAGTTTGTTTGAATTGTCCTGTACCAAGGCAGCGGCTTCTCTCGGTGCTGATGTCGTTAAGCCATCAATATGGACTTAACATTGTCTATGTACACTCACTGGCCATATTAGGCACATCGGCACAATTTAGTAAAATCTCTACAACTTCTGGCAAAGAATCTCTTTGAGCAGAGAGTGAGCCCTGAGCGAGAAAAGTCACACCCTCTTCATCTCGGTAACATCCCGAGGTTTCCGTTTTCACATAATCCGCTGTCAGCTTTTGAAAACATGACTGCTTTGTCTAAGGACACGTTATCGCAATTGTCAAAACGGCTCAAATCGTCAAAAATCAGACAAACATCAAGTGTGCCCCCCGCGACTAACATATATACACAATCATGTGGCGTCACGGCTCGCGTCAGTAGAGCTGGCCGTTGATCTGCTGTAGCACGCCGACGACAAATTCCTTCAGCATCTACAGCGGAAAAGAAGGCAAAAAAAATAAAAACATAAAACGCCAAATTTTGAGCGGAGCGGGCGCATGCGGTAGAAGTACCAGTGGCTTGCAGCGCTCCTCGATCCAGTTGATCACGGTGGCCGACAGTTCCTGGAAGCTATTGACGGACACTGAGCTGCTGAAGGAGTAAAAAAGCGAGTCCATGATGCTTTGGAAGATGTTGAACTTGATCTGGTCCGACACCTGGTTCGCACCCTGCTGCGGATGGCTCTGGTACGCCTTCACAATCTGCTCATAATTCCTATGAGGTGAAGATATGTGACAATGTCACCCATGTTTTCGCACGATACAAATAACATTGTTTCATAAACGCCCCTAAGAGTCGCCTTCCCCCTCGCGTGCAATTAGCCGACAACAAAACCACCACAAACTGCCTACCCCGACGACTCACGTTTTCATGATCTTCAGCGCGGTCACTTCTTTCCTTAGGCGGGAAACTTCCTCCTCCTGCTTTTTCTTCTCCTTGTGAAGAAACTTGATGTATTCGATGGCTGCAAACAGAAACGGTTGTGTCGTCGTTACGTTTGCCGGATGCGCCTGCAAAGGCCTTTTTCAGACTGTGTTTGGTTTTCTTGGCATTTGCTGCAGTGCTGCGCGTAAAAAAACGGCAGTGTCCCGGGGCGCTTTTCACGCTGGTTTCGTCGAAAAGCAGACCGCACCTCGGCAATTTGTATTTGTCATTACGGTAAAAGAGAGTATCTTGAGGAGGAAGAGGGAAACTGACAACATCGGTGCTCAGCTGTGGTCACGTTCTTCATCGTTGACCTTTTCAGATCTAATATTCCTTTCGCGTCGTGCTAAATTACAGCATGCTGATATTTTACACTTTTTTCCCCCCGTCGTGGTTTGTTTATGATGCTACAACCTGCAAGGAGCTTCGCCCCAACATGCAGCCAGCTGGTGTTCCCTCAGCAAGGAATGCATCCCGACAGGCATTGAGGGGGAGGGACGACAGCTTGCGTTAAAACCAAGTAATGTGACCAGAAGAATGAGTGGGACAGGAGATTGTATGTTTACTTCCATTTTTCAGTATGGTACTCCGCTAACTCTTCGGATGTTTTAGCCTTGTTGACATGTCGGCTTCAAAACAATGTTTGCGATAAGGTTTGTGGTGTCTTACTCTTCTGCAGGATGGTGGCCTTGCTGATCTTCTGAGCTCCCACAGCAAATTCAGACTGCAGGCAAGTCGGAACAACAGACTGCAGGTCATCATAGCCTTTCTGCAGAGGGAGATTAAGCGGCGTCAAATCTCAGGACACAACAGTAACTCAAATGTAGTCCGAGTCTGAGAACATTTCTCACCTTGATGGCGTCACGCCGCTTCTGCTCGGCCTGCGTGTGCGCTTGCCTCCGCCGATCTTTGCAGGAATTCTTGTATAACGTCTCATGCCTGCAGTCGCTATCCTCATCATCTGTTGTCATATCAGATAACCGCACAGCGGGTTTACATAGTTTCCCTTCTATTATTTAAAACATGAATTGTCCCATTAAATAACCCGGAGTAGCCTCTGAACTTCTTTCCTGCCGCTTACACGTCAACTGTAATTTTAGAAAATCCCAAACAAACTATTTTCATGTCACAAGTAAACTAATTCAACAAAATACATCAGATAAACCATGAAAAAAAATCATTTCTATTTGGGGATACCTCAGAGAAAGCCCTTGACAGGAAACACACCTGTGTTTGGTACTGAGGAGGCACTTGTTGAGCTGATACTGTTGGCCCTGGACACCAGGCTCCCCGTCCTGGCCGCATCGGCAAAGAGAACTGCAACAAAGCACATTGTTCAATGTTCATCATCGGCTTCTCCATGTGGGCAAGACATGGGGAGCGTCAAACTCACCAGGGTCAAAGACGCCATCGCCGAACGCCACGTCTGAGTGCTGAACCGTCACCGGGCAACAGAAGACAGAGAGAAGGAAAAAAGGGACAATAGTAAGATGAAGTACAAGAGCTGGCCTACATGAGGACAATAACACTCAAAACACCCACTGAGCACTAGTTTGATTACTTCTATTCACGCACGCACAAGACCGCAATCACCGCTGTTTGCCGCTTAAACCAGGACACCGCCACACAATAGTCACCCAACTTGTGCCCAACACTGCTAAGGGAAGCCAAATGAAGAAAATGTCCTCTTTAAATTTTTTTTTTTTAAAAAATCAATAAAAGGCAGGAAAAGATGTGTTTGTTTACTGCACATTCTAAAAGAGTTGCCTAGATAGCTTACATGTCAGTTGTGGCTTAAAGCAACAAAAGCAGCATGTTTGTTTTGGAGACAAATGGCAACAGACTAACAATTACAAAAATAATACAAGCATTTTACAAATTTCTACACCATTAATTGAAAAACACAATGAAGGAGTTTTGAATATAAGTATTTATTTATTTATTTATTTTAATAGCAGTATCTTCATGTGCCCTGCGATTGGCTGGCGACCCGTTCAGGGTGTTTATGCTTCTATCCTGAAAGTCAGCCGTGACACATCGATTAAAAAAATATTAATACATTTAAAAATAACAGAAACACACCTTTTAAAAATGTATTTAAAAGTAATCACCATGAAATCAACATAATCATGAAAAACAAATACAACGACAAAACATTATATGTGTAATAAATGATGTATATTACATGTTTCCTTCATGACGAGCCATATTTCCATTGATAGTGAGAGTGATGTTACAACTCTGATGGACATCAACAATATCGTTTTTTTTAATGAACTGGGATGTTAACAAAAGTAGTAGTTTATTTACAAAGCATATTTTAACACACATCTGACACTAGACTCATTCAACAGTTCCATAACTCGCTGACTGCAAATTGATTAAAAAATCCAAAACTTACTTCACAAAAACACTTTCCAAAGTAGAAAACAACAACAACAATCAAAAAACAGTTCTCCTTTTAGATGAAATTAAATTAAAACACTGACTGCCCAAAACGGCGTTTATTGCAGGCTTGCGATAGCAGACACGCACACAAAAGCCTCACAACTACACTCACTTGACAAGCAAGACAACAAAGCTCGAGTCACTGACAGCCAGTGCGGCCGAAAGTGAACCGACGCACGACGGCTTACATGTGGCTGATGTCACAAAAGACTTGTAACAAGACAAAAAAAGATGATGTTTGTTACGAACACACGACTCGAGTTTACCTTGCCGTGGTCCTCGGGCGACGTTGTCGGATCCGCCATTTTGGATGACCGTAATAACGTTGGTGCGTTCGCGGTCCTTCTGGGAAACTTTGCATGCACCCAGAGCTAAAACGACTCCCTCCGCTATCAAAACGCAGTACAAGATCAGCTGGCAAAGTAAGAAGTGCTGTCTTTAAATGGTCGTGAAACATTCGCTTGAACAGAATGCCGGCTTTTATTGTCAACGTCAAGGCATTGTGACTGACTCATGTGGGTGTTTGTTCTATTTTTTTTTTACAAGCACCCCTCAAATGTCACAGGCCGGGATGCAATAATCCATTTAAACCACACGGTGTCGGTGTTTCTCTATTGGATCACTTGACTGGCCTCCAAGCAAGCTGGCCTCCCTCAAAGGGTAAAGATCAAACCCAAGAGTGGCTTCAAGTGAAAAGTAGCCAGTCTATGTGATACAAAAAGCCCATGTCATCTTTAACCTCATACACCTACATCCACCCTAACAGTTTCTACCACAATCCTCACCCCGTGTGTGCGCTCCACCCTGTGTTCGTTGCGTGGTCGCCATGTACAGGAAGTTACCCTTCTGCTTTTCTGTTTGTGCGGTTTCTGCCTTTCTGCCTCTCAGAGTGTGTCGCCTTCCGCTCAGAACCCGCACTCAGAGCTCTTCTCGAGGTGTTGTTCTTCCATCCTTAACCACCTCGCGATGCAGACCCTCTCTCCACAAGGCCTCATCTAGGCCTACGCGCTCTTTCAGGGTGAGCACGGCCCGCTCTGGTATGTGCTGATTTCTCGGGAAAAGTTGTTTGTGCACGGCTTTCCTCCTGGATTACTTGTGGAGATTAGTGATGGGGAATGCCGGGGGCTCGGAGCAGGAGTCACTGCCCGACGGCCGCGAGTCCAGGAGCTCGGTGGGCACGGCGTCCGTCATGAGCGAGCCCGGCGCCCCGACGCTGCCCAAGAAGCAGCCGGCTCCCAGCAAGCTGCCCTTGCCCGCCGAGGAAGAGCTGGAGGAGCGCTTCAATGTAGTGTTGGTGAGTGAAGAACAGGTTTTAAACTCACTGTAATAATCCCACTGAGGTTCCGACGCAGAATTAGGTACAAATCACTTGTTTTGGAGTAAATTAACAATTTCAAATGTTTACAATGTACAGGGCAGTGCAAAAGTAGGTATGTATTTGCAAGACTTTTTGTAGAGTTCTTTATTATTTACCGTCTTTATTCGTGTCTATGTTTGTATTTACATACAAACACTCTAGGCACAGGCTAATGCAATAAGGATATCTTAATCTTAATGATTGGGATAGGTATACGATGGGGAAAAAGAAGCAGCAACAGAAACTTATAACAATACAGACAAAAATATGTGCTCGAGTTTAGAAACTAGGAAGAGGAATGTGGAAATGCTAAAGGCCATGTGAGCACGCAGCATGAGACCTTAATGGTCATTTGTATGTTACTCATTTTAACTCTTAAGAAAGCTGTCTTTTACGCTCCTACAGTATTACGGATTACAATTGCATGTAGGGCCAAAATAAACGGTTCATGGGCTATATAAAGCCTAAAAACCGTGAATTACCCACAGCACTTCAGAGATCAAAACAATAAAAAAATGAAATGAAATGTAAAAAAGCAACAAGTTTGGCACCACGACTTGGTATGGCATGCGTGCAGGCCCTAAAGAGGAAGTGGGGCAACACACCACCGCCACAGACCAGAAGACCGGAAAGCAGCATGCTTTCAACACGCTGCACTCGAGATGTGTCTATTTTCATCATTCACTATGATCTCGTGACTTTTGAGTTTATAAGCGATTATATTCGGTTCAAGTCGTAGGAAGTTGACATTCAAAACCGATCAGGTAGATTGATTTCTCCCAGCCGATTGCTGAAGAAATTACTTTTGGAAACAAATAACTTAGTTCTACTTGTTATGTAAAATTTTTAGTACCAAATAAACAATACTAACGGTACTACTATTACTACTAGTGATTATCATTATTATAATTATTATTTTATTGTTGTTATTAATGTATTTCATGCCATCACATGAGTATAAAAATGTACTTTTGCATTGTTTTTATTCCCTGAACACATTGTTTTCTGCTCTCCAATATTTTTCTTTTGAGAATTAGCAGGTAGAGTACTGTAGTTTCAAGCGTGTGTGTGTGTGTGTGTGTGTGTGTGTGTGTGTGTGTGTGTGTGTGTGTGTGTGTGTGTGTGTGTGTGTGTGTGTCCTGTGTGTTGACACATGGGCCTTTACATTTTTAACACAATTTCCCGCTTTAGGAGAAGTGGAATAAACAATGCATTTTTTTTTCCATTTGCTGGCCGCACCCTCTCAGCCATTGAGTATGACGTCAATTCCTGTCTGAGCCAAACTATTTAGGAGGAAGTGCAATGAACAGAAGCTTCGTGTTTAGCAAACAAGCAACGAGCACGTGTTTGTCGCGTCTAAGAGCGAGCGCCTACCTGAACTTGGCTCATTTTTTTGGGTGGTCAAGGGTTCGTCTTGCTCATTTAACTGTCAAACCACAATGAAAGCGAGAGAAAAGACGCCAGCTTGACAGAAAAGATGCGTATGAGGCCTTCACTCACCAGGTCCTTAAGTACGCTGCAATAAACAAAAGAAAAGTTAGGAGTGACTCAAATCAAAGCATACTTTGAATTTGTTGGATGATGTTGTGGATAAATATAATTGACCAATGACAACATAAGTAAATAAATACATTTTTTATACTGTTCACTGAAATTAACTTGCTAGCTAATTACAGTAATTAACTAAAAATGTCTGTTAAAGGAGAAGTCAAGACGAAAAAAAAATCTTCCCAATATGTTTTATGCAACCCCCACTAGTCTAAACATGGTATTCTAATTAATACTGCGTTTGTGGAATATGAATTAAGGAGAAAAATCTACCTGTTTATAACCCATCTCAAGAAGCGGCCATTTTGTCCTGTGCTTCCATTTGCATTTGCTGTCAACTCAGGGTAAGGGCTCAGCTAATGACTGCCACAGCACCTGTTTGCTGGGATTGGTCATGTGACGGTCACCCTTTGGCACTGTGTTGTCATTTTCGGTCGACGGCAAGAGGCAGTACGGAACAAAATGGCCGCCCCCTGAGATGGTTATAAACAGGGAGATTTTTCTCCTTGATTCATTTTCTACATACGCAATATCAATCTGTGTTTAGAAATAAAGACAACGTCCTTGGCAGAGCTAAAAAAAAGAGTAAAGCTTTAAAGTACTGGATTTAGTGCGAATGGTGTTGTGTGCATTTTTTTTCTCAGAAAAAACAGTTTGGTCACAAAACATCTCTGATATTACCAAATAAAAGAGGTAAAAAATCTTTGGGTTAGTAATAAGAATGTTACTGTATTTCAGAGCTACATGAACCTGCCACCAGATAAACTGCAGCTCTTGAGTCAGTATGACAACGACAAGAAATGGGAGCTAGTCTGTGACCAGGTACGTTGTTTTATTTTACATATTGTAATTTTAAATATAATTTATTTTAGGCTAAATATTTTAAATTGTGTTTAATTGAATTAGATTTTATTTACATTTTATTTTTATTTTCAATTTAAATTTTAGCATGTTCGCATTTTATTTCAAATTTCAAATGTAATTTCAAAATGCATTCCCCTTTTATTTTTAATTGCACGACACTTTTATTTTTGTAGATATAATTTTTACCTTTTTTAAAAATGGATTGAGATTTTCATTTTCAAGAAGTTGATTTGACAAAGCGTGCAGGTTGTGAAACATCCTGGACCCGTGCCTATACATAGCACACATATGTGATTAAGCACAATGATAAAACCGCAAAGGCGTCGGCATGGCAACAGTGTCGGACGATGGCACACATTGATTAGTCTGTGTTGCCGTGTGTTAGTGTGTGTCGTTCAGATCACTCCTCTCTGCTATCTCAGGAACGCTTCCAGGTGAAAAGTCCTCCGTCCACGTACCCAGCAAAGATCCGGAGCTTCTACCAGGACCAAGTGGTGGTGGCTCGCCGGGTCAGTAAACTTGATCATCCCTCATCTCGATTGTACTATGTAGTGGAGCCCAACCGATGAATCGGCCGATATTAGCCTGTTTCAGATCGGCAAATATTTGCAGATTATTATTGGAGATTTTGGACAATTGTTTAATTGCTTTTTAAAATCACATTAACACATTACAACATAAGACAAAGAATTCCCCCCCCCCCTCCCCAAAGTAAAAAACTTGCCCGATTTATCCTCTCCGCAAATTGTGTTATGTAACGTTATGTTATTTATGATTTTAATGATTTAAATGCTCTGCTGGTGCTTGTTCATCAGAAGAAAAAAATCCAAGATGCCACCAAGGTCCTCAAGGATTTGGAAATATCCCTGCGCACCAACCACATCGGGTGAGGAACATGAATTCACCCCAAATAAGTGAATGCATTCCGAATCTATAACTGTTTGAAATGTAATCATCTCCTGGGACGACTTTGTGTCTTACAGTTGGGCTCAAGAGTTCCTCAATGAGCAGAATAAAGGTCTGGATGTGTTGGTGGAGTATTTGTCTCAGGCCCAGTGCGACGCCCCGTGAGTAGCGCAGCGGCAATAGCTCGAAAAGCTTTCCGATATTCCCCCAGCCATCCACCAAAGTCACCTCAGATATGGCATTTCTCCTGCAGGTTTGACGTGGAGAACGAGAACGGCGGCACCCTGAGCGACAGATCGAGGCCTGTCAATGGGAGGTCCATTGAGGACTTGACCAAGATCGGTGGCGGCGGCGGCGGCGGTGGCGGCGGCGGTGGTGGCGGCGGCTCGCACTCGCACGGGGTGACCCGAGCGGCACGAGCGTTCACAGTGAGGTTAGAATGTCTCTACAAAATCGGGGTTATCTTTTGCATTGATGGTCCACCGCGGACTGACGCTTATGCTGTCATCATGAACAGAATCAGCTCCACTATTGGGAACAAGATGCTCAAGAAGTCTCATTCACCAAGTCACAGAGATGACGTGCACGTGTGCATCATGTGCCTGAGGGCCATCATGAACTATCAGGTACCAAGGTTATTTCCGTTCATGAAAACGAATAAACTCACTCACAAATGAAGAAACACAAGAATGGCTGAAAACATCCTCATATTGTCCTATATCCGCTCTGGTCATGTTTTACCTTTTTGTTTCAGTCGGGTTTCAACCTGGTCATGACGCACCCGCGTTGCGTCAATGAGATCACGCTCAGTCTGAACAGCAGGAATCACAGGTGTGTGTGTGTGTGTGTGTGTGTGTGTGTGTGTGTGTGTGTGTGTGTGTGTGTGTGTGTGTACACGTACCTGTGACATCATCATCACTTTTGTCTTCGGCGACAGGACCAAGGCCCTGGTGCTGGAGCTGCTGGCTGCCGTCTGTCTGGTCAGAGGAGGACATGACATCATCCTGTCGGCCTTTGACAACTTCAGAGAGGTTCCGTATTAATAATCACATTCGTAGTAATAATAATGATAATAGATATCAGTAGACGTCACACTCCTTCTGTTACTTTGCTCGTGCACCCCATGTGGGCAAAAAGGTGTAATGCACATACAATATGAACATTTTTCTACATTTCACCAAAAAATTATATAGTATTATTATACAATATATGCTATATGTTACTGATATTTAAATAAAACTGCATATAATTGTGTTTTTTCCCCCTCCCTGTCAGGCAAGCAAAGAAAAGTATCGCTTTGAGAAGCTGATGGAGTATTTCGTCAATGACGATTGCAACATTGACTTCATGGTGGGTCCTGCATACGTTTTGTAGCGTGTAAAATTGTATAGTTATTTGAAAAAGGTGGTTACAAATGGAATCTCATCAATTTGCAGGTGGCCTGCATGCAGTTCATCAACATTGTGGTCCATTCCGTGGAGAACATGAACTTTCGCGTGCACCTGCAGTACGAGTTCACCAACTTGGGCTTGGACAAATATCTGGAAGTGAGATGACTTTGCCGTCGTACCTAATGAAGTGTCCCGTGAAAAGAGTTCACCGATACGCATCACGCGTATCGTCCGTGTATTTTAGAGTCTGCGGCAAACAGAGAGCGAGAAGCTCCAGGTGCAGATTCAGGCCTACCTGGACAACGTGCTGGACGTCGGTGCTCTATTGGAGGACGTCGAGAGCCGAGGCGGCGTTCTGGAGCACGTGGACCAGCTGCAGGACCACAACGTTCAGGTGGGCTACGTAGACCCAATGAGTGCAGCAGAGGTCGTGGATGTGTGCTCAGATGTTCCTTGCGCTGTCCTTTTCAGCTCAATGCTCAGCTCCAAGAGATGGAGTCTCAGAGTGCAGAGAAGATTTCCGAGCTCGAGACTCAACTCATGCAGGCCACCAAAGAGGCCGAGTTGCTCAAAGTATGTTTATTTACTCACCTGGAGAATGCAGTTTGTTGTTATTCAAATTATTCATTCCAGTCCAAGCTTCAGTGGGACGGCGTCACTGCCAAGGGGGGCGCCACCACATGCAATTCTGCGGGTGTCCCATAATAGGAGGGAAGGCGTCAATAGTGTTTTCCCATTCCAGGAAAGCCTGAGAGACTCGTGCTCTCAGGTGAGCACCTTGCAGCAGAGGGAACGGGAGAAGGAGCTGGACAGAGAGCGGGAGAAAGAGAGGGAACGTTTGAGCATGGCAGCTTCTCAGGCACCGTCTGAGCTGGAGCAGAAGATCCAAGAGCTGCAGGAGAAGGGTCTGATCTGCTTGACCAGGACCCCCTCGGGAGGTTTGGACATCAAAGTTGTGCCCATCACCGTGACCGATTACGTTTCGGCACCAACAACCCATGCCGAGGTGGCTTGTGCCACCTCAGATATAGATGATCCATCCATGATCCATCCCTCGGCTCCCTCGACTCCCTCGGCTCCCTCGGTTCCCTCGGTTCCCTCGGCTCCCTCGACTCCCTCGGCTCCCTCGACTCCCTCGACTCCCTCGGCACCTCCACCACCACCACCACCTTCTGGAAGAGAGCCACCACCACCACCACCTCCTGAACCTCTCGCCAAAGGAGGGCTGCTACCACCTCCTCCTCCGCCTCCTCCACTTGTTAGTGGAGGAGGGCCACCGCCACCTCCACCACCGCCTCCTCAATTTGCCGCCGGAGGAGGGCCACCACCACCGCCGCCACCTCCTCCTCCACCTGCCGCTGGAGAACGGCCACCACCTCCGCCGCCTCCACCTGGTGTTTCTCTTCCACCCCCTCCGGGAGCCCCCAGCATTCTGTCTGGTAGTGAGACTTTCTGAGTGGTGGAAGGATCTAGATCAAGATCTAAAATCCTAAAATGATAGTTACATGGTCTTCTTTGTGTCTCCTCAGGGATGAAAAGTAAGAAGACTATCCAGACTAAGTTCAGGATGCCGTTGTTGAACTGGCAGCCTCTAAAACCAAATCAGGTCACGGGAACTGTGTTTCATGAGCTGGATGATGAACAAGTCTTGGAGGTAATAGGACACACGTCGGACAGAGAGCTGTCTCTGGAGGTCTTGAGATGAGGGCACAAGGTTTATCGTTCTTCTACATCCATCCAGGAGCTGAACATGGAGATGTTTGAAGAACAATTCAAGACTAAGGCGCAAGGTAACCCGACAGACCTGATGAAGGTGAAAAAGAAGTTGGGGCCCAAGGCTCCCAGCAAGACATCTTTGATTGACCCAAACAAGGCCAAGAATTTGGCCATCACGTTACGGAAAGGCGGGATGACTCCTTCGCAAATCTGCACCGCCATCGAGACGTACGGACTGCCTAACTGACCTCCTTCATGACTTTGTGGAATTTTAAAGGAAAACAATCTTGTTGTCGTTTCCCTTTTACAGGTACGATCAGCAGTCCTTGTCCATTGACTTTCTAGAGCTATTGGAGCACTTTATACCCTCAGACTTTGAGATAAAGCTGCTGATCAACTACGAGAATGACGGCCGACCCCTCGAGGACTTGACGGATGAAGACCGCTTCATTTTGCGCTTCGGCAAGATCCCTCGCCTGAGCCAGCGGATTAACACGCTCACCTTCATGGGAAACTTTCCCGAGAGTGTCAAACGACTGCAGCCGGTGAGTCGAGCCTCATCCGAAAGTGTTGGAACAATGATTTGAGTATTTGTACTCTGCTACAGCAAATCAACTCCATCATCGCCGCGTCCATGTCCATCAAGTCTTCGGCCAAACTAAAGAAGATCTTAGAGGTCGGTCAAAGAGATTTAACCTTCTCATGAAGCCTTCAGACAGATCCTGACTTTGTCTTTTTTGCATTTAGATCGTTTTAGCGTTTGGCAACTACATGAACAGCAGCAAGAGAGGGGCAGCTTATGGCTTTAGACTGCAGAGTCTAGACCTTGTAAGTGGCTTCCCAAGAGCGTAATGGAGATCAGTGGTAGAAGGTTTTCAAGGAAAGATGTCAACTTCTGTTTGTCTCACAGCTACTTGAAACTAAGTCCACAGACCGCACGCAGACGCTGCTCCACTTCATTGCCAACATTGTCCATGAGAAGTACCCCGACTTGGCCAACTTCCACACGGAGCTCCACTTTGTGGACAAGGCAGCCCTTGGTACTTGCTCAGGCTTGCGTCTTTTGTGTGACACCAATGCGCCGACTCGAAAGTTCCTGTCTCTTTGCCAGTGTCCTTGGACAGCATCCTCCAGGATATCCGCTGCTTGGAGCGAGGGATGGAAATGACCAAGAAGGAGTTCATGATACAGGATGACAGCCCGGTCTTGAAGGAGTTCATCAAAAGCAACAGCGAGCCATTGGAGTCTCTGAAGAAAGACAGCAAGACTGCTCAGGTTTAGCCTCCAATGCCAACAAGTGAGCTTGTGCGTCAACCTGACCTCAACTTCTCCATTGCGTAGGAGGCTTACTGCTCGGTTGTGGAGTATTTCGGCGAGAACCCCAAAACCACGCAGCCGGCCATGTTCTTCCCACTCTTTGTACGCTTTATCAAAGCCTACAAGGTGAGAATATTGAGTGGGGTTGCGAACCAGTGGAACATCTGGACCCGATGATTCAGTTTTTTTTTTTTTTTTTGGGTGGCAGAAAGCAGAGCAAGACAATCAGCTGAAGAAGAAAATGGAGCTTGAGATGAGCCAAACTCAAGATAGCTCGCCAGCAAAGGCCGGAGGCCATAAGGTAAAATATTTGGGGTATAATAAGAACATGCATTTTAGATTAGGATTTTTGGCTACAGTGCAGAAATTCTCACATGGAACAGAGTAGGTAAGGTACAGCAAATATTATAAATCGATGCAGCTCGGTTTCTGGCTAGTGGACGATGTGACTGGCAAAGTGCTTTTGGGAGTATGTCAAACTTCATCACACAATATGGGAAGATCAATGCAGACAGAAAAAACATCGAGTTGCAAGCACAAATTTTTGGACTGTTCAAACTGTTGCAGTTAGTCTCCATACTTGATTTTCTAGCAAGAAAACAAGCCTGTGAACAGCACGGCTGACCTATTTGTTTGGGCTGGGTCATGTGATGTTTGAATTTTTTTTTCTGGGACTCGACTTTAACTCTTCCTGTGTCTTGATATCCTTTTAGGGTCCCCAGATGCCCAAGATGGACTTCATTGCCGAGCTGAAGAGGAAGCAGGTGCAACCTCAGGTGCGCGAGGGCAAGGACGGTGCTTTGGAGGATACTACGAGAATGACGGCCGACCCCTCGAGGACTTGACGGATGAAGACCGCTTCATTTTGCGCTTCGGCAAGATCCCTCGCCTGAGCCAGCGGATTAACACGCTCACCTTCATGGGAAACTTTCCCGAGAGTGTCAAACGACTGCAGCCGGTGAGTCGAGCCTCATCCGAAAGTGTTGGAACAATGATTTGAGTATTTGTACTCTGCTACAGCAAATCAACTCCATCATCGCCGCGTCCATGTCCATCAAGTCTTCGGCCAAACTAAAGAAGATCTTAGAGGTCGGTCAAAGAGATTTAACCTTCTCATGAAGCCTTCAGACAGATCCTGACTTTGTCTTTTTTGCATTTAGATCGTTTTAGCGTTTGGCAACTACATGAACAGCAGCAAGAGAGGGGCAGCTTATGGCTTTAGACTGCAGAGTCTAGACCTTGTAAGTGGCTTCCCAAGAGCGTAATGGAGATCAGTGGTAGAAGGTTTTCAAGGAAAGATGTCAACTTCTGTTTGTCTCACAGCTACTTGAAACTAAGTCCACAGACCGCACGCAGACGCTGCTCCACTTCATTGCCAACATTGTCCATGAGAAGTACCCCGACTTGGCCAACTTCCACACGGAGCTCCACTTTGTGGACAAGGCAGCCCTTGGTACTTGCTCAGGCTTGCGTCTTTTGTGTGACACCAATGCGCCGACTCGAAAGTTCCTGTCTCTTTGCCAGTGTCCTTGGACAGCATCCTCCAGGATATCCGCTGCTTGGAGCGAGGGATGGAAATGACCAAGAAGGAGTTCATGATACAGGATGACAGCCCGGTCTTGAAGGAGTTCATCAAAAGCAACAGCGAGCCATTGGAGTCTCTGAAGAAAGACAGCAAGACTGCTCAGGTTTAGCCTCCAATGCCAACAAGTGAGCTTGTGCGTCAACCTGACCTCAACTTCTCCATTGCGTAGGAGGCTTACTGCTCGGTTGTGGAGTATTTCGGCGAGAACCCCAAAACCACGCAGCCGGCCATGTTCTTCCCACTCTTTGTACGCTTTATCAAAGCCTACAAGGTGAGAATATTGAGTGGGGTTGCGAACCAGTGGAACATCTGGACCCGATGATTCAGTTTTTTTTTTTTTTTTTGGGTGGCAGAAAGCAGAGCAAGACAATCAGCTGAAGAAGAAAATGGAGCTTGAGATGAGCCAAACTCAAGATAGCTCGCCAGCAAAGGCCGGAGGCCATAAGGTAAAATATTTGGGGTATAATAAGAACATGCATTTTAGATTAGGATTTTTGGCTACAGTGCAGAAATTCTCACATGGAACAGAGTAGGTAAGGTACAGCAAATATTATAAATCGATGCAGCTCGGTTTCTGGCTAGTGGACGATGTGACTGGCAAAGTGCTTTTGGGAGTATGTCAAACTTCATCACACAATATGGGAAGATCAATGCAGACAGAAAAAACATCGAGTTGCAAGCACAAATTTTTGGACTGTTCAAACTGTTGCAGTTAGTCTCCATACTTGATTTTCTAGCAAGAAAACAAGCCTGTGAACAGCACGGCTGACCTATTTGTTTGGGCTGGGTCATGTGATGTTTGAATTTTTTTTTCTGGGACTCGACTTTAACTCTTCCTGTGTCTTGATATCCTTTTAGGGTCCCCAGATGCCCAAGATGGACTTCATTGCCGAGCTGAAGAGGAAGCAGGTGCAACCTCAGGTGCGCGAGGGCAAGGACGGTGCTTTGGAGGATATCATCACAGGTAAAACCATGTGACAAATGGACTTGTGTGTCAAGTGTTTGCGTGGTCATACCGTTGCCCTTAACTGTTGGTTCTCCACCTTCAGATCTAAGGAACACGCCATACCGCCGCACGGAGGGTCGCCGGGCAGCTCAACGCGCGGACACCTAAAAGAGACAACAACCTCAAGGCTGAAAGTGGATTGATACACAAGACGTCAACTTGAAATCTCCTGTCAGTAAAACAACAAGATGCTCTGTTGACATTTTAGCAGGAAGTTGCCTTGTAAATAAATACGTACATTAAAGATGTATTTTAATCCAAGAAATCACCGTACATTTTCAGATGTATGCCTGTATTGTTCTTTATAAAATAATAAAAAAAAAAACTTTTTTAAATTTGAAAAGCTCATTCAGTATTTTTGTGACTTTACACAGGCAGGGCCATACATTCGAGGCAAACATAAATTTATCTGCTTGTGCCACCCAGTCATACATCATCAAAATTACATTGGACCAGCCGCACCACAATTTTGACGTGATCTGAGCAGTCTTAACGACAGACTGACTTTCCGCCACCAAATTATGATTCCGCTGTGTGTATCGTAAAGGACACACCCTAGTTACTTTGGAACGCCCAGAATGACGCAGCGTTGTCTGTCAAATTGGCAAACAGGAAATTGGCACGAAAGTCAGGATACGCCAGCGTTTCCGCGTGCACCTTCGATGAACACAGAGGCCCTTGGTGTTACAGTAACACTCCCATTACACATACAGCACATTTGACAATAAAGTTCGATCCAATCCAATACAAAATGAATAAGTCATACTATCGACATCGCAGCCACGGGTAATATTTACAGTGCTAATGCTAGCTTAATCTTGTTAGCACTGCTATTTTGTTAAAAGCGAGATTGTCTGACATTGCAGCCACGGGTGATATTTACAGAGCTAATGCTAGCTTAATCTTGTTAGCACTGGTATTTTGTTAAAAGCGAGATTATCCGATATCATTTCCCCTTTAAACATTGCAAATTTACACCTTTAACCCTTTCGCGGACAGGGGTTACTACAGCTTACCATGTTATCAGGTTACAGGGTGCGTGAAAGGGTTGACATGATGTCTTGTTTTTGTTGTATTCTTGGCCCTTGCTAAGAGACAAGAAATCCACGGAGAATCGGGGGAACTGTACAAGAGGAGCTGCACTTTATTGGACAAACAATCACAGCAAATTATGTACAAAACATTTTGTCACACACATTTCCTCACGTAATGTCATCCACGCTAATAAATGAAGTCCAGAATCATTAGTCTTTTTTTTTTAATAAATTGATAGATATAGATACACTGTATGTATTGTATTGCATATATTTATAATATATCTATGATATTATTTTTTGTTTTTTATGTCACACTAACTATAAACTCTGGGCCGCATTGCACTGGAGCGATCCCGTCCTAACATGCCTGCCTTTGATTCACACACAAAACCAAGAGAACATCTCAACGTCACCTTTTCTTTTTTTTAATCCTTTCTTTGAAATTATTTTTTGAGAAAACACCCATGATAGACATCTTAGTATTTTATTTTATTTTTTAAATCATCTTGACTGCACCGTGCAATTGCTTGAGACGATACATGCGTCTGTGTTAATACCTTTGAATCTGTTATTATTGTACGAATAAATAATATTAATAAATCAATAGATTTGGATTTTTGGACGTAATTTCTTGGACTGGCTAGGAACGACTTGACTATTTACACAATGTTTGTTTCTTCTACTTTGCGATGCTGTTTGAACATCCACACACTCATGTAAAAAAACAGTACATATACTATATACAGTACATACTATATAGCACATACATTTATTTTCATGATATTTTAAAAAAAAAGATACAAGTTGAACACTTCATTGTTGATTCATCTTTGTGTTTCTGTTTCCCAACTTTTCTTTTTTTTTAACTGCTTAAGAGCGTTGCAGTCTGATGTGCAGATTCGGATGCAACATTCAAGTCAAGTGACCTCAAACGAGCTTTGTACTTAACGTCATCGAGTGGACAGCACCAACACACGTACACAAAGCATGGGGTGATTTTTAAAAATGCATCAATACATTTTAAAAAGAAAATTTTAAAAATAAACACTTTTTCAAATAAATTATGTTTTGGGTCACTAATTCCTCAATACATACATTATAGAACATGTGTCCATCCAGAAAATACTAAAATAAAATTAAATTACATTTAAAAAAAGGAGCTATATATATTACTGAGTCTATACAGATAATATATTTTAAACAAATGGAATAATAAAAATGTCCCACGCATATGAATAAATAATCTCCATATGGAATGTGAAATGGCAAAAAACAAATCTGTACAAAATGATCACACTGTTCATTTATAAAAACTAAAGCGGTGAAAACATTTTACAGTAGATCCTCATTTGTAGTCTAAGTCTATATACTCTATGTATATATAAATATGTATATCATAATAATCACACTTTTTTTTCCACAAGTATACTGTCATACACACACGCACACACACACACACACACACACACACACACACACACATCTACAGTATATACACAAGCACACACACACACAGACACACGTATATAAATAAAATACTTTGCGCTAATTCAAGATTATAGTTGTGCCCACCCTAAAGAAATGTCGTAGAAAGGGTGGTAGTGTTTGAGGAGGTTTGGGGGGGGCTCATGTGTCACACCTCCAAGATTAGCCAACGCTGCATTTCTTAATTCCCACTTTTTAATCTGCAAAATTTGAGAAAATGTGCTCAGTGTGCTCTTCTGCCATGCTGATGATGTCACAGGGGAGTGAAACACGGTCTGGGGATCAGGGACGGTTTCATGGTGCAGTCAATGGGCTTCTTTTCTATCCACTTTTAATTTGCTGACACAAATGAGTAGTGTTAGCAATGCTTGCAATGCAGAAATCGTTGCCATCCTGTCCTTATAAATAAACTTCTTTCGCCGGGTCCAAGTTGACATTACTGCCTACTATTTTTACTGCTTTCATTTAGCTATTACAATTATTCACAATTGTATGAGCGGTGGAAAAAAAGAAAAAAAGAAGAAAAACTGCCATCACAGTGAGGCACTCTAAAGTGGCTGCGCAAGTCCAAAGCCCTGGTCCACATCGTGGCTGTCAAGTCGGACTTCTCTGCATGACAGCTAACAACGTGGCGCTCTAAAGCTGTCACGTCAGCCCAAAGTAAATCTGTCAAGTAAATCTTAGGAAAAAAAAAAAACTCCCCTCCTCGCTGCTTTTTCTTTCTCAGTATGATAAGTGCGTACTCGTGGCTGACAACGAGGCACTCTAAAGTAGCCAGCATACTGTCCAAAGGTGTTTTTTTTTTTTTAGGGCGTGAGCATAGCTAGCTAGCTAACTACACACTGCAATTGCCTCAGATAACCGTAGATGCGAATGAAGGCGCTCAAATTCTTATGCAGCGGGGGAGGGGAGACTCGCGCTGACATCCATTTAAGCCACACCCAAAAAAGTGAATCAGTGAAAAACAGTTTTACGATCATCTCCAGAATCATGGCTACAATGTTAAAAAAAAAAAGTAAAAAGTTCCTCAAATGAAACTGTTAAGGCGTCATATAGGCAGGGATCTATAAAGGGTTTTTTTGTGATTGAGAAAATGATAGCAGTCTAGCAGTGCTTGCAAACTGTGCGGATGGAAACCAAATGAGGCACAAGCAGGATATTTGAGTTACATGTATACACACACATACACACAGTGTTGAATTAAGACATGTTGTGCTTCGTCATTAAAATGTAATTCAGAGGCGACAGCGCTCGCTCGTTTAAAGTCTTCGTGTACGTTTTGTTGTCGGTCAAATGTTTGGCAGGAAAAAGTCGGCACGATGAGCTGCTCGTAAGGCTGCTTTCCGGTGTTACATTAGAACTGAAGTTTATTTTTAAAGGGGTAACAACAGTTGTGCTTACTCGGGTCTTGGGACGTGTTAACAGTATGAAGTGTGAATGCAGGCAGGGCCTGTTGTCTTGGGGGGAGCTTGGTGCTTTTGTGATGCCAGTGATTGTCAAAATGTTAACATCAGATTGCACAAATCAACATTTCTAGAGAGGAGTCTTTGTTACATTATAAATATGCTGTATTATATTTGGCCTTTGTGTGATGCCTGTGCTGCCGCCTAATAACATATAATTACAAAAAAATAAGTGTGGGGGGGCCAGGGGTGGTCTGAAATTCTTATACAACAAATTCATTCAAAAACATGCCTTTGTGCATTGGGAAAAGAAAAATGAACTTTCCCAAACTGAGCCCACAAAGTGGAATGTTTAGCACCATCCACAATGTTTTGTTGAGATGAACAATTAAGATTCATGGACCGTAATCCAACGCATCATTCGTTTTTTTTTTTTTTTAAAACTACTTTTGTCCGTCAGAGGATCATGTAAACAGCACCACTTCGGCTTGAATTAAAACACCAGATAGCTTTACCATGACACACGCTTACACACAAACACACACGCATGTCAATAAATTTGAATGTGGTAGAAAAGGTCGGGCTATTTCAGAAAGTAAAACTCTATATCAGGGATGGGCAAGATAATTTTTTCACCAGTGCTACTGGGGGGGGGGGGGGCACATGAGATCACGCACTTCCTAAGCAGATGTAGGACAAAAATGCTAGTTTAAAAATGGACAAAATATGTGCATATGTGCAAAATATGTGCTGTAAACATTTCATTTTGAAGAATACATTTTTCAAGAGCCTCGATCCTAACCCAACCAATGGGGTGAAAAATTACCATTCGAGGTCAGCACAAACCTGCTTCACAAGAAACCAACATTACGTGCAAGAACTAATTTAATTTTTTTTTTTTTCACAAAAAACAGCTCACTCAAATTTTTTATATAACTGAGGTACGATGTTTATCATTTCAAACCCGCAAAAAAAATACTACAGTCGACCACTAGCGTATTCACACACTTGTAGATTTTTTTTTTTTTTTTTGCGTATAATTGATCATCACCCCCAATCACTCCTCATTATTAGTGGAAAATATATATTGAATGTTTATAAGCAAATTAAGAAGATTCATTTCGGTTTGTAAAAAAAACAAACAAAAAAAAAAACAAAACATTTTCTTAATTTTTTTCTACTAGTTGCCCATCCCTGTTCTGTATGATACAGATTCCTTAAAAACACCGGAAAATATTTCTTCTAATCCTTCCTTAATTTCTATAGTTAATCTATATTTTATTCCATTGTTTCTTGACGTAATATTATCATATAGATAAAGAGGTAATCGATCCCAATCAGCATTAAAAGCAGTTGGAGCTTGATTTCCACCATATCCCATTTTATTGAAATGCACGCGTATACGGAGTGGACTCACGTGGTGACGATTATTGCAACTCTACGTTTTAAAACGGGATCAGCTTATACCAGGTGGGATCACCAGGAAGGCTCCAGTTTTGTGCTTTGGAGGGAGAATTCCCTTCATGGACCTCCAGAACCACATGAGATTGGTCCACGTGGGACACTTTCACTGTTACCGTGTATTCTTGCTGAGGCCCTCCAGACTAGCCTTGAGCGACGTAGGCGAGCAGGGCGACAGGACGGGCGTGGTGGGCGAGGAGGACGAGGACAAGGTGGCGGTGGGCGTCTGCGACGAGGAGGAGGCGGGCGAGGGCGAGCGACTGCTGGGCGAGGGCAGGGAGGACGCGGACGCCCGTTGCTGCTGCTGCTGTTCGCGGAGGAGGCGGTGCTGTCGCAGGGCGGAAGACAGCAGCAGGGCCTCGGCGCTTAGGCCGGCGGCCGACAGGCTGGCCAGCAGTGCCTTGGCCTGGCCGGGCGACGCCCTCAGCGTGGGGCCCTCCGCCCTCCTGCGGCGGATCCCCGACTCAACGCCCGCGGCTCCCTTCAGGTCAGAGGACACGTGATGAGGGGAGCGGGAGTGATGAGTACGGACGGGGGAGGGCGATGAGAAAGTCCTACAAAGTAGAGGTTGCCTGCGCACACATGCTCACAAGGTGCTCACTGCTGGTGGGGGAGGAGGGGCGGTTATCGTGCGTTGGCGAGGCGGGTGGGGGGGTCACGCCACCACGAGGAAGATGACGGGTGAGGAAGAGGAGGAGGAAGGGGGAACAGAACAAACAGAGGACACATTATTTCAGGCAGACACGAGCATGTGCGACGGGCCCGGTGCCATCGACACATGAAGACCAATACAGGTTTTATTTTGACTTTTAATGATGAGGACCGCATTAAAAAAATCAAAATAATCAAACTTGTATCCGGCACAATCACATGTAATGAGGGTATGAGCCACTAGATGGCAATGTTTGAATACATCATTTTTGTCAAGAGGTAGCGCGACGAATGGTCACAGTGCCTGCCACATTTGGTTTGGTGCAGTACTACAGCTAAAATTAAAAAATATTTTCAAATGTGAAAATGCAAAATTAAGAAATAAAAAGACAAGTACCAAAATGCAATATGAAGAAAATGTTTTTAAATATGGCAAATTAAACAACATGGAGAAAGCATACAAGAATGCAAAGGTAAGAATGAAAAAAAAAATATTATCTTGAAACTAAATACGAAAATAAGTGTTCAGTTATTCATTCATTCATCCATTATCTGAGCTGCTTATCCTCACTTTGGGTCGTGAACGTGCTGGAGCCGATCCCAGCCGTCTTCGGGCAGCAATGTAAAGCGTTCAACCAAACTCGCATGCATGTTTTTGGAACGTGGGCGGAAACAGGAGAATACCCACACAGGCACAGGGAGAACATGCACTGCACCTCTGCGGACGTGCTAACCAGTCCACCAGCATGCTGCCTTCAACTAAAATACTGTTCATTATTTCTTTAGTACACACTGTTCAGTTATGGTAAATTATCTGAATAATATAATGCAGAATAGCTTGTATCTTAGCTATCTTAGCTTTACTGTATTTCAGCAACATTTCATGTAGCATCCAATATATGATAGTACAAAATAGTACAAGTCCAACACTAACTATCAAGCCATCAAATTACACTTGCGAACCAGTATGGCAGGTCCTCCAAAGACAACGCAAGCTATTAAAAACCCAATTTTCCACAATATGTCTCCTTAAAGCAAATCCTGTAGGATTATAGAGGGCAACTAAAGTATGATGTGATGCTATAAGCACACTACTGAAGTGTAAAAGTTATGAATGTTGCTGTTACAATCAGAATTGCACGAGGGCTTTGCAGGGAAGGTAATAGGACTTACTGAAGCATGTCAAGCAAAGCCACAAGGATTTTTTTTTGTTTGCCTTTATGTGTGTGTGGGGGAGGGGGGGAGTCGTTCATCAATATCACATGAAATTTTGGTGGTCTCAGATTGAGATGGGATTGGTAAAAATCCCCAGTGGCGTCTCTTCATTCTCTGATTATCCGGGATGATGATGATGAGGAGATGAGTGAGCGCTCGCTCTTCATCCTCGCTATTTCCTCTCCTTTATGTCCCGGGCTTCCGCCTGCCGCAATTTACACCCGCCAGCCTCGCCGTGAGCCGAGCGGATTCCCGTACTTGTCTCATGAAAGCCAAATTAATCTCATTATTTCAGCACGACGCCGACTCCCAGCTTGCTGTTTCTCTTTTTGTCTCCATTTGAAAAGACTTGCTGAAAAGAAAGTGCAGGGACACTTTAAGCTAATTGTGGACCTAAACGCCTCTCAACGGTGTTAACCGTGTGACGTCAGCCAAACATTACCAGCTCAGTAGAATCTAACAGTCGACGAATTTTAATGTATGTTTACTATCGGTAACAAAACCCAGGATGTCAAAACTCTCTCTTATATTTATATTAAGAATAAGTACATTTATTTATCATCCAAGTATCATTCACATTGTATGCCTATATTTTTTTTTAGACCAAATACACGCTCCATCAGTTTGCTAGTTGGCGTTAGCAGCTACTGGCTAACAGCTAGCTGCTAGCGGGAAGTATAGCACTTTTTAATAGCCCATAGGCTATGTTAAGATTTAGGCTACTTCAGTCTGTCAAAAAATAACAATGTTTATTGCTAATAAAGCACTTTAAACTTGAAGTATGTCTAAATACTTTCTTGACTTCTCTTTCCTTACTGACCACCAAAGTGATCCCCTAGGGCGCAGAGGCTAATATGACATGTTAAATAATGTCAATTAAGTCAAAGCATTTTGTTTTTTCATCTAAAAAAATACATGTGATTCTATGCATTTCAGGGTTTTGGGGAGCCCAACCCACAAATAACTTTTGCCGCATGGTTTTGCCGATCTGAAAGGTGGCAACCCTAATCAGCTATCTTAGGATGCTTGTCATCTTTGACGTCAAACCAAAAAAAAGAAAAAAAGCGATTTGCATCCTGGTAAATGAGTATAATCACAAAAGCCGAGCGGCAATGATGTGGAAAAATAGGCTGATTACCCGAGCGCCGTCTCGTCAAATCAACAAGGCGGTGGCGGGCCGACTTTGACGGCTAATCAAGATGAAAGGTTCTTACTTGGTGACAACTTAATGGGTTGTCAAAAATATATTTGACGTTAAAACACAGAATGTCGTCAATGTGTGCAATGGTTCACCAGAATTAAGTGCGCAAATGAAAATTAATAAGAGCCCTAAAATACATTTTGACCCGGATGCACACACTTGGAAAAAAAATGTTTTTACGTGTGTTAAGAATAATCATTTGGAAGAATAATAAACAGCGATTCCAAAAGGGCCATCCATCAACTGTTGCTCCCGATACTTATCACACATCAAAAAGGCTTCTCTGTCTCTGCATCCCAAATGAAAGCACATTTATGATGACAGCAATTATGATTACTACAACACGAAGGAGCGGTACCATGCAGGTGAAGTCACCACAGCATGCACGCAAACCTGAGGAGGACGAACAGTACCTGCTGCTGGGTCTTCAGGAAGTCCTCCCTCTTGCCACCTTTGAACTTGTCTGTGCTGTTCTGCTGTTGCAGCTGCTTCAGCTTGGAGGCCGGAGTTGGCGGGACCTTGCACAGGGCGCTGTTCCCTCCCTGGAAAAGACAGAGGGGAAAATTGATAAGTGTCTTTCAAGGAGAGATTTCCCAGAAAACCTTTAGTTTTGATAGTGGACAAGATTATTCTTATTTTTTTTACTTATTTACTCTCAACTTAAGGGAGTTGAAACTGTACTTGGGTTTTATCTTGAATTCTGCTTCAATGCAAAGCGGCAGTGCTTTTGCCATCTCCGCAAAGACGAGAAGCAGGCGCGGTATGAAAGTCGGCAGCGTGTCTGAGTTAATACGAGATGAACTTCACAAGCTGCCACGCCGCATCGCTTTTGCCGTCCAACACAACCGCTCGTAAGCGTTTGGAGAGCGTGTAGGAGCAACGGTGTAGCGCGTGATGCAAAGACAAGCGCGGCCATGACGAAACAACGCGAGAGGACTTTGAAATCCTCCCGCTCTGCCCGTGGGAAATTATATCCCGAATCGCATTCGTGACAGTGGAATATGACAGCTGAGTGGGAGGCTGTACTTACACAGCAACTGGGAATGCTGCTAAGGTGTCATTGTATGTTGAAGTTGCTGATTTTTGAGTGGCCCCTAATGAGCTGGATCCAAAACTAGTACTACAGAGGTATTAATTAAAATATATAGGCATTGTTGGGATGTGGCAGTAACTGGTAGTTAAAAGTATGGAAGCCCATTTCAGTCCAAAAATGAATTTTGATTTTATGCAAATGCCTGCACACCGAGTCCCAAAATACACAGTAAATATCTCCATCGAAAGTGATCTGAAATTGCCTCTCCTTTCATATTTGATTAAAATGTAGTATGATCTAAGTTTTATACATATTCTGAATGCATAAATTGATATTTCAAGTTTTTAGAAAAAGTGAGATAACATTTAAGACAATATTGAATCTCAAAATAACTATACAAGTAAACGCCCAAATATTTGCAGTTTTGCACTTTTTTCTTGAGTTAAAAACTCCCCAATTTGCTTTTTTTTTTTGTGCTTGGATAAAAGGAATAAGAGAATTGCCTTGGCTCCATCTGGAGGCATCTTGGTCTCAAGGCAGTATGTTGACCTGAGTTGAGGATTTTTATTTGGACATAACTAATGCATTGCTTATGGCAACTTTCGGAAATCCCAAACGTATTTTTTTGGGGGGGGGGGGGGGTCAATAAATGTTCTCTTTTTATGGCTTCGCTCAGTCCCTCCCCCCCTGCGAATATGTAGGTTACCTATACACCATATTTAACATTTTGGAGAAATTCTGTGGCAGAAATAGGCTTCCAACGAATGAAAAACATTATTTTAGTATCACAATGAACCAGTATCATCATTTTCACGACACAACAAAGATGAAAAGAGTTTTGGTAAAGAAGCAAAAAAACGACAATAAAAAATAAGAGGGTGGTTCTTTTTCTGTTTTTGTTTTTTATTGTCAGTTTAAAGCATGAGAGGGGTGAGCGACTACAGACAGCCAGCCAACAGCCAATCACAGCGCAAGACAAGTCTGGTGTCTGTCCCGCCCCTTTTCCTTTTCTGAGCCAATGGGGGAGCAGACATCAGAGGCGTGAGAAGTTCTCCGCAAACCCTCAGAGAGGAAATGAGGAAAAGAATGTTTCGAGCGAGGAGGCATGAGGAAAGAACCTGTCTCGATGTTGAGGGCTTGGGTGGGACCGGCGGTTTCTTGCTCGTTTTGGCGTCAACAACCTCGGCACGGGAACCGCCGCCGAACTCCTGTAACGTGATCTCCAACTCTCGAATGGTCTCCTCCAAACTGTCCAGCCTCTTGTAGGTCGTCTGGCAGAAGTTTTCTCCTGGTTTGGACTGTACGGAGGCCAGGTCTGATGTCGAAAGACTTGCATCTCCATCGGGAGTCCTACTGTCGGGGCTCGGTTGGAGTTTTAGAACCATGTCCCCCGTTTCTATCCCTCTCCTCAGAGCCATCACCAGAGAGCTCTGCTGACTGGGGGAGGATCTTATTCTGGGTTTGGGCTGCAGCGGCAATGCCTCCAAAATCGAAAGCAGGAGCCCGTAGGCCTCCTTGAGCGTGGCCTCCTCTCTGAAAAGAAGCAGCAGAGGCCGCTCGCTCAAGTGCGTCTCCGAGAGCGCCTCGGTGTGCTTGGAGATGGTGCGCGTTTGCAAAATGACTCCCATGGCGCCGCTCAGCTCGTGGGCCTCGAAAGGCGAAAGTGCCCTGATCTCCGACTCGGTCAGGAGCAAAGTCACTTCCTGTTTGACGTCTTCCCCCGGGGAATGCTGCGACTCCAGCTCGCGCCGACGAGGCGAAGCGCTCGGTGTCACGGAACAACGGGGCGCATCTCGGACGGGACACTGGGTCAACATGATGTGTGGAACGTAACACAAAGGTCTGCCCTACAAACCAGGAAAGCACTTGAATTCATTTGGGATCGAAACACAGTGACGGCAGACCCAACAGACGGAAGGAATGATAAGTGAATATTCAACACGTTCTTTGGATTAGCTCTCAAGGAGGTCATTTAAAAATGAGGCATTTGGTCCATCTGCGTGAACCAAGATGATGTGAATGAGCACGGTCATCTCTGGTTTCACCTGCTGCCAGGTGCGGAGGCACATACGAATTCCGCTGTTTGAACATGCGCTCACTGTTGGCGAGCACATCTGTCCGATAACATAACGGGGCTCGCGAGGTTGCCGTGTTCCATCAGGACATAACGGAACAGCTTTTACCTCTGACTGGGCAGAACTTTTCTCCTGCTCTGCATCTGCCTTGTCTCCGGACAGCGTCGGCGGCGTGGACGCCGGACGAGGGTTTTCCGACACCGTCCTCCTTAACTTCACGTGAGGCTTCTGGCTCTCCACCTCCTCAGAGTCGGACTTCTGAAAACACGACGGGAAAGCATTTTCAAGCACTTTCATGAATTTTTATTTGGGGTGGATGATTTTAAAGAACAATCGAGCTGTGATTTTTTTGTTATTTTTTTTTGTTTTCCTCTCGATATTGTGACTGGGATTTAAGATATGATTTTTTTTTTCCCAAGGTTCTCTTCTCATTTTATCCAAACGCAAGCAAAGGAATCAGATTTCTTATATCGCAATGCTTTGTTGTTAAATGACTAAATATTACGGCAAACATAACTCAGTACATCATAATGGAAAATAAATCCGTGGCATCATCACTTCAACTTTTCGTGGTCTCTGAAATGACACGACACTGCGGCCACACACGATGATGTCCGCCGTTGACACTTGACTCAGAGAGTCGGTTAACAGAGAGACGTGAGTTACCTTGACGCTCTTCCCAGGAATGAGGGGCTCCCCGCTGCGGGTGATCAAGCCCGGAGAAGAAGGGAAGCTGCGTCTGGGTGGAGGCGGCGGAGGGGACTTGGAGGGTTTCTCTGTGCGGTAGCGGGGCACCGTCAGCTCATCTGTGGAGGGTGCAAAAAAAAAAAACAACAATCATACATTTCGACCGGCGTCATGTCAAAGCGATCTCACTCTTTGCGTCAAAATAAACAAAGGCCTGCTTTTCGGATGTTTCAGAAAGAAGCTATTATAAGAGTTTGGATAAAACGCGTCACAACTCATTGAGCACAATACAAAGGACAAGGAGAGCAGTTTGCCCACACAATGTCGTTATCGGATTATCTGCGCATCAGCATGTCTTTCTTCTTTTTTTGTAGTTTCTGTCAGTCTGGATGCTCTGTAGCACAATGCTTCCTCCCACGGGTCAGTCTTGCTACAACAGACATCTAGGTTGGGGATTGGCGGTAGTTGGTGCAGATAAGTATGAGTATGTGTGGTGCGTTGTATTGGTCATCTGGAGGACACCATCGACTGTAACAATATTTTTTTTTTCCCCCTGACGTGTGTGTGGTCACATTCTCAAAATAGGTTACAAATTTGTATGCTTCTGCCCAGCTAATCGAATTGGCAACGGCAGCTCGTGCACCTGGCACTTCAAAGCCCGCGTTTAAAATTATTATTCAACAAGAAATTGCTGAACATGTGGTTTCATTCGAAATGGAAGAATTTTTTTTTTTTCTTTGATCCTAAGAAGGTGACAATATTTTCGCTTCCACTCCTCACCAGATCCTAGTCTGGATCCGCTTTCCTTCTTCTGCAGGGGCTTGTTGTTGACGGTGCGGTGCTCGGGCGTGGCCGTTCCGCTCTGAGGCGTCTGGGGAGCCTGCGAGGACGTCGTACTGGAGGAGGGTTTGATCTGCTTGGCGGCAAAGTCCAGGTCGGGTATGGCCTTCATGAGCTCGGCCTGCGTCTCCTCCAGCAGCCGGTTGATGTCTTGAGCGCTGTACTGGGTCAGGCTGGCCCGCTTCTCCTCCCAGTCCCGCTCGGCAGCCTGGGAAGACGATAGTTGACATTGATAAAGCCTCTCTGCTCGATGATAAAGGGGGGAGAATCAAAAAGCTTCCTACCAGGCGAACCTCGACAGACAACGCCTTATCGGCAGCGTTGCGGCGTTCCAGCTCCTCCAGGGCTTTGCCCTTGTGAGGGACGGGCGGATGATTGTCCTTATGCTGTCCTGCCGGGTTCCCATGGTGGCGGCGGGCGAGGCTGGTGTGCGGGCTCCAGTTGGACAGGCTGTTTCCTCCCCCGAGGTCGTTGATGGCGAGGGGCGGGCTGGTGGGGAGGTCAAAATCCGGGAACTTCCTCATATCCTCGTTGTGCTTGGACGATGAGAAGTCCTCGTGTTTCATATTCCCACCCGCCTCGTTTGCGTTTCCTTGGGGGGGGGGGGGTGAGTCAAACACATCGCTGTCATCGGAATGTGAGACACAAAAAAAGGCAAGACCCTCCCTCAGTAGACCTCCACAGAGGCCTCACACCTCGGTGCCGTTAGCGGAACTAAGATGTCAATTGACATGGATTGCGACTGCAAGTGCGGGCTGTTTCTTGAATTGCCAGGAACGAACAAATCAAGGCTGCGTTTGCAAATAGGAAGAACATACTGAAATATTCGAAAGCACGATCGTCTGGAGAGAGCGCAAACCATGTAATGGGTTGTTTCAGTATGTACATTACATTTTTTAAAAATGCGATCCATCTTGATAGTTTTTGTTTTTCTTATGGGTCAGTGTTGAATTATTGAGCAGCTCTTCAGGTGTCCACCCTTTTTTCTGATGGATTTTGAATGTTCTCGTCAACAAGGGTTCTTTTCTCTCGCCCCCCGTTGCATACTTGCGCATGGCATTGAGGGTATCCGTGATGGTCTTGCAGCGTTTCAGCAGGGCGTCCAGCCTGTGCGGCTCCTCCTTTAGGAACTTGACGGCCTCCACTTCGACCCGGAGCACCACCCGCATCTTGCTCTGAAGGCTGGGGAACTGGTCTGCGGCACAGGCAGAGACTTCAGTTAACTTCCGTCTTTGGCGCGCGGAAGTCGACGAGAGTGATTCATCGTTTGACAGACGGCGGGTGGGAGACTTAAAAGGCGAGCGGGCGCCGAAAGCGTCTGACTCACTCTTGAGCTCGGTGAGCGTCTCGCCCAACTTTCGGAGGACGGCCGTCTTCTCCTCCAGCTCCTGCACGCTCACCAGCTTGTGGTTGACGGACGACTCCTTCTGGATGTCCTCCACCGACTTCTCCAGGTCACTGAGGGGGAGGAAATGCGCAGAAGGATGAACGCCAGCCATCGCTCCGCTGCTCTTTTCAATTAACTCGCTCCATCAGCTGGCACTTTCTGCAGAGGTTTTTGAGGCAAGCTGAACTGGAGCGGCGTGGGCAGGAATTAATAAGTTTGGAAAAGTACTTTGGTGGCTTGCAGGGAACACGGGGGCAAATATAAATCTAAACTAATGTTTGCAATGTAATTCAGAACTGTAGACTTTGCTCAACTTAATATGGGTTCATAATTCGACTGTACATTTTCTACGCTAACAACTGCTAACCTATACTCTGCGCCATATATTGTTGGGCCAACGACCATCATGGATTTCACTACCATGATGATTGAGGGCGGAGCTCAGGGTTGTGACGAGGCGAGCGGCTTTGTCTTATGAAAGAAGAGTCAACAGTGTGGGAAAATGAGGGAACCTCAGCCATACACACCATCAATTTTTGATATATTATGAAATTAATTTACAGCCCTTGTCTTCTGTAGGCATGAAAAGCAGGTTTAAAGAGGCATTCAATAATCCTCAGAAAAAAACAGCCATCTAATGGTCAACAGTGGAATTACACTCAAAATAAACACGGAACCAACCATGAACAGCACAAATTTTCAATTTATTTGATGCGCAATGTAAAAGAAGACTGGCTGTAGCTGCACCAACATTTTATGGGTTCTTTCCAATGAATCCTGAGCAGTTTTTTTCTTCTTTTTCTGGCTGACAATTTAGATGCAAACGTGATTATATGTTCTGATCCTCCTTGCTTCTGGCCTTGGGTAAATTCGGGTACGGCTACTTCACAGGACATTGCGACGCATATCTGATGTGGAGATCTCAAGGTGGCGCTCAGCTCTGCTTGTGCAGGAGCTTCAATTAGCTGCTAACACCTCACATCTTAATAAGAATCTGAGAGCGCTAAGTCGGGCTTAATTACGCTTGCAGCTTTATCCGAGCGCTGCGATGCCACCGCGTGACTCACTTCCTAACTTGAATTTGCACTTTTTTTTTATAAACCGACAAAAAGTAGCTTTTCCTTCTCATTTCCATGATTATCAGTAGGTGGGTGTGTTGGTACTACTAACTGAAGCTGCTGGATGATGAGCTCCTCCTCATTGAGGTACTTGAGCCTCTCCTCCTCCACCAGGAGGCGCTGCCTTTGCAGGGGGTCCTCTTGCTTGCGGAGGGCGTCGGCCACACGCACGTTCAGCTCGGCCTCGGTACGCTTCAGCAGCGTGCGCATGGAGTCCTGGTTCTCGAGCTGTTGAATAACACGCATGAGGAGAGAATTATGCATCATAACTGACATATTATTTCCGGATATACTATAAAGCAACATTTTATATTTAACATCTTTTTTTTTTTTTAAATACATATAAAACAAAAACACGCATAAATTATGGTAGTGTTTCATGGGTGGATTTAACATTACAAAAAAATGAATAAATATATTTGGATTTCAAAATGAAAAATGTTAAGGTTCAACCACAGGGATCTCAGTCCCCCTCTATTTTTTCAATTTTTGTTTGTTTTTAAATTAAATAAGATACCTTTTTTTAAAATCTCAATTCACCACAAATGTATGCCGGTAATTATAAATACTGCACATCAATTTTAATAAATGGATATTTACAAGGGAGTGGTCGACTGGTGAGCACGTCCACCTCACAGTGCAGTGGTACAGGGTTCACTTCCAACTCTGGCCTGCCTGTGTGGCGTTTAGATGGGTTTTCTCCGGGTACTTTGGTTTCCTCCCACATTCCAAAAACATGCATGGCACGTTAATGGAACACTCTCAATTGTCCCAAGGTGTGAGTGTGAGTGCGAATGGTCGTATGTCATGAAAAATCCTGACACAAAATCGATTTGCTAGAATATAGAAAGAAACTAACGGTAAGGAAGTTATAGCATTTTGTAACATAATGAAAAATCTCATGTGGTGGTGGTGTTGGTTTTTTTTTTTTTTTTTTAACTGCAAAACACACAACTTGTTTTTCTCGTGCCCATGCCAGCACTTATTTGCATACTCCCGCAGGGTGTGGCCCATTCTCAGAGCGTGAAACTCCTCCTCGGTGTTATGAATGGAAACTTGTACACAGCCGGCGTGTGTAATACAACTCTGAGATGAAAGCACCTGGTAAGGGAGGAGGATGCATTATGGATGAGCCTCATGTTCCAGGAAGTAAAATAACACCGCTCGCATTGCGGATGACCCCATGTGATCCCTGCTACAAAAGCCACCACGGGGATACGCAGAAACACAAGGTGACGTGAACATACTTGATCAAATATTCACTCATATTTATGCTTATATTATTTACATAACTGGAGAAGAATCCCCATCGTGCTTCCCGCCTCGGTTGAATCATTCATGAGGCGCATGTCAAAAGCGAGCAGCGAGCCTTCAGTGTGAGGTGACACATAAGGTGGGGAGGAAACGCCCTGCCTCTGCTGGTAGATACAGTGGACTTCATGAAAACGAAGGGGATAAAAAAAACATGAATCAACCAAGGCGGGGAGGAGCTAAGTTTGCACTGGGGTTTTAATTGAAGTTGTGGAGAGTCCTCATCATGTATACGTGTTGCATTGTTTTCTTAAGCAAATCATTCCAAAGCTAATGCGTTTCACTGTCCTGTACTTTGCATTGGGGCTCGATCCCCAAGCAGTGCGCCGACTACAGCGCTCTACAAACGTACCGCATCACCCTGAGAGCTGCCTTCTAAATCAGGGGTCCCCAACCGCCGGTCCGCGGACCGGTACCGGTCCGCAGGGCATTTGGTACCGGGCCGCACAGAAAGAACTTGCCTTATTTCCGTTTTATTTATTTCGGAATACGAAAGATGTTTTATTTTGAAAAATTACCGGATTCTCCGTTACATCCGTCCGTGTCACGCTTGACTCACGTCAAGCCACGCTGCTCGGTCACGTGACCGATGACGCTCAAAAACAAAACGCTGAAGCCCGCAAAATGAGTAAAAAAGCTGCTTGGAGATCGCAAATGACGGCGGCCTTAAAAGTACGTTCGAGACAACTGGATTAAAGTTCTGTCTGAATACTCTGATATCACCACAATAGCACTGTTGCTATTTCCGACATCCTGCCTGTGTGAGGTGGGGAGTTTCTGCAGCAACGGTGACTAAAACAACATTACAAAGTAGACTGGACATAAACCACACACTTGAGGTGTCATTGTCTCCTATTACCCCGAGATGGGACTGTGATTGCAGAAAATCAAGCTCAGGGCTGTGGTGAGTCATCATTTTCATGCACTTTGAATTTGCGTTGTATCGTATTTTGAAGGCATTAAACATTACCATAGCGATAAGAGGGTTGCGACCAGATTAGACGCTCCTTGTGTTTATTATTATATTTCGAAAACACCACAGTTTTCATGCAGCTCATACCATATTATTTTGTTGTATTAATCCGCCACACATTAAATGCCGGTCCCTGAAAATATTTTCTGACTTAAACCGGTCCGTGGGGCAAAAAAGGTTGGGGACCCCTGTTCTAAATAATTGACCGTACCTGCGTCTTGCGCAACTGCCCGAGCTGCTTGCGCAGGTCGTTGGCGTTCTGCTGCAGCCCGTGAAGGTGCAGCTGCATCTGCAGGCGGCTGACGTTGTTCAGCGGCGTCGAGTTGGACGGCGGTGGCGGCATCAGCGCCAGCGGGGCCGACGGCGTGTGAGCTGCCAATCAGAGCGGGACGGAGAGGGCAGAGGGGGCGGGGGGTTCACGGTGAGGTCAGATGCAAGCTGATTAATTCAGCGAGTGGCGGTCAGCCTGCGGGGCGCGCTACGGTATATATCGACGAAACAAATAAACACATGTACACGTGTGCACGGTGCGCACAGCGTGTGAATGAGCAGACCCGTAAACCCCTAATGGCCCACTGGAGATATGTGAGCTCATGCTATTAGTAAACCCATTCAGAGGTGCAATTAGTTGGCCCGGTAGTGACACACAGGGGGGGATAACCATGCTCTAATCTTCAAGACACCGCTGTGGGAGTAAGGCGAGCTCCCAAAATGCACACACATAACACATAGACGTCTCCTGACAGTGTCCCGTTAAAAGACCAAACAACACTGGGAAAGCCCTCAAAGTACCAGGCAATTAGGTAAAAAAAAAGGAAGGAAGAGGGGGGGGGGGGGTCCGCACCACTCTGGAGAGGAAGACAGGAAGTGAGAGAGGGCAAAGGAGTAATGAAATGACAACTACCTTTCTTCTTTTGCCGTCCTGCTGGAATATAGAAAGATCCAGTTACTCAGATCATACTAAGAGGGAATTTTTCAAATACAATGGTACTGTATTCTCCTCTAGTACATGTCGGGAATTAAAAGAGCTCTGAGCAGATTGGCTTGATAGAACTCTCAGCTGACAGATCAGGTAGTGGTGGTAAAATCGTTTTGTAAAGCGAATCCTCACTCGGTCCTTTTATCTTTTTTTTTTTTTTGCTCGTAATATTATACGAACAGGAACTACCAGAAAACTGTCAATTCTCAGTTCAACTATTTAATGGACACCACAAAGATCAAAACACGGCCGTGGAGCCGGATGCGGAAGAAGGTCTGTCTTCTCCGAAATGATTTCACCTGTTTTTTTCAATCACGCTGCCTTGGCCAAATAAAAGTTTGTTTACTAGAAGTGCAATCTGGGTTTCTTCCTAAAGGTTATGTGGAACATCATCGTGAAGCTTTGTCATCATCGACTGTGGCTACACTTGGAGGCACCGCTGTCACCATGAGCTACTATCGAGTTTTTAATTTCCGCTAGTATGTGTCAACTACAGACAAGCCGTAAAACAAAACTTGGTGCCGATGTCTGAGTTC